TTGCGGTCCTCGCCGAAGGAGCTCGTTCGGCGACGGCCAGTGCAGCACCGTCCCAGGTGGTCGAGGAAGGTTGCGGGCGGCCGTCGCGGGTAAGCGGCGAGACCAGGTTTACGTCGCAGCACAGTGCTTCGCCGAGCTGTGTGGCACCATATGCGACGAAGTCGAGACGCCGGCGATCATCGGGGTCGACACCTGGGGCAGGCGTCCGCGCGAGCCACTGTTGCGGGACGACCTGGCCCTCCGGCCCGACTGCTTCGCGCACGATCCTGATCCACGTGTGCTCAAGTGGCTTGGCTCGCCGGGCGAGCAGGCCGGTGCGGGGGCAGGCAGCATAGTGATCACCGTAGACGTCGACCGGCGAGCCCCTGCATGCTCCGCTCCGAGGAGCTGCCACCCAGGGCTGATGCAGACGCTGGTGGGGCCTATTCAGCGTGGCTGTGCAAAACACGCTTGCTGCCACTTTGCTCGGGTCGCCGCCGGTCCATGCCCCTATGCCTGGCGCGCAGGCGCCACCTCTGCAGGACGTCGTGCACGACGCATGCCCGCCTGTGCCCAGGTGCCTATACCGGCTCGCTGAGCCGCTGCAGCCCCTCTGCTATGCCGTAGTTCGCAGGTGCACTGGGACCGCGCGCGGATCGCCCGAAAAGTTCGTTGGGAAAAAAAAGGAAGGTCGTGCCACAGCAATGGCCCACACCACGGCGCCTGGCGTGGAAGCCGCAGACCGGCGCCGCCTCGACCTGGTTGTGTACGGCGCGACGCACAGCGGCGGAGCTTCGTGTTGTGATGCCACGCTCGTGTCTCCTTGGACGCGCATGGCACCCGCAACCTTAAGCAGTGCTGGTCGACGGCGTCGCATTCAGGGTAGCCGAACGCCGGAAGCTCACTACCTACCCAGAGCTTCCCAGCGGCGGGCCGCAGGAGCTCGGGCTCGGAGGTGGGCGGACGTTGCAACGACCAGGCGCGCGCTTTCGTGCGGGACCTCGGCCGGTTGAAAGCTCACCGGGCCCCGCTCATCCCCGCCCGCACTTCGCGCAGCGGCGCCAGCCGGCTGGGCGAGGCGCTGGTGGGGAATCTTGTCCGTGGCGGTGCAAAAGGCCGTCGCCAGCACGGCATCATAGACGCGTTTTGGAACAGCCACTGCATGTCTCCGACGAGCAGCGCATCGGCCCGCCACTGGACACACCCTACTCGACCAGGAGGACTGCAGCGTAGTCCGTAGTCTATGAGGCAGACTAGTCAGGTGCGACCGGGGCTAGCAGCTTTCGTTGGACAGCTCGAAAAGTCCGCTGCAAAAAAAATGGTCCGAGGAACCGGGGACGCCTTGTCTTCAATTTCTCTTCGGATTTTAAGCGGGTTAAACTTTCAGCGGATAAGTGATTGCGGCCAAGGAGCCGCAAACACATCATCCAACACCCTGGCAACAACCACATTTTCAAAGTCTATTTGATCTTTGCAGGAGATGCCGTGACAAACGTGAACGATGCAGACTTTCAAAGTTGATTCGTTCTGGTTTACGTCGGGAAATGCGCCGCAGAAGAAATGCTCGATTGAACGAAGTATTGCTTGAATTTCCGGACTTGAGCGGGTTAGAATCGATTCGGCATGACCCTTTGAGCAATACGAACAGATCTCATGAGTATGACCCGCATCCAGATGAGTTTGCAGCATACTTGGCCGAGATTTTCGCTGTGGACGAGACTGACCTCCCCAGCACAAACCCGTCACAGCATAATTTAACATCCCTCCTTTCACAAAATCAGAATTACAAGTCTTGCATTGCACCGACTTCGCAAGCACAAATCTGCAGATGTTGTATTATGCGCCAGATGAGTTATTGGATTATCTGCTGGAGTTGTATAGCGACTTGCTTCGAACTGGACATTTGGACCCGGATTGGCAGCATACATTATTCACAATGTTGCCCAAAAAAGGTGGCCGAAATTGGAGACCGATTGCTTCACTGAAGGTGTTGTATAAGGTCTTTTCCAAGATGTTACACGCACGGCTACAACATGTCCTTGATCCACAACAATCTTTCGACCAAACGGGTTTTCGGCAACACACTGGTGTAGAACATGCCTTATGCGTGTTTGACAACGTTTGTGCCAGATCTTTGGAGTATAACTGCGAGATTTGGGTTGCGAGTATCGATTCAAGAAAGGCTTTTGATCGGATACATCATCCAGCTCTGTTTCGAGCACTTCGGCATCAAGGAGTTTCCGAGGGATATCTTGAATTGTTACAGACATTGTACTCTTCGCAAACAGGTTCAGTGTCCGACAACCGCAAATTCCATATTGGACGTGGTGTAAAACAGGGCGACATCATTAGCCCACTGCTGTTCAACGCCGGTCTGGAACACGCGGTGCGCGAATGGAAAGCATGTCTACGTGACGAGGGTATTCACATAGGAGCACCAGCTAACTTGACAAACATCCGATATGCAGATGACTTGATGTTGTATGCCAAAACATGGCAAGAACTGGTACGCATGCTGGAATAGCTAGAAGCAGTTTTGGCAAGTTGACGGCGACATGGTTCAAGTACTCGCAGATATGGAGGCGCACATGTACCTCGGACGAAAAATCCCGGCTGATCTTCGAAGATGCTCAGCTGTTGAAGTTGCCCACCGGATCAACGCCGCCTGGGGCAAGTTCAACAAGTTCGGGTATGTTCTGACAAATCGACACGTTTCAATAAAAGGTCGACTACAGTTGTTCAATCAATGCAGTCGTCACACCGACGGTCTTGTTTGGTCTTGGCAGCCTCCCCCTTACCAAAAGACAGTTGGAAGAAATTGACACGTTGCAAAGAAAAATGTTGAGATCCATCGTCGGCTGGTATCGTGTCGAAGGTGAGGCTTGGTCTCCTTCGCTTGGCAATTGTATTTCTTCTCCGAGCCTTTACGCGTGGTCGGATGATAACGGTTGCTTGCATGATGTTGGTCACGGCGCAGCCGGCGATCAAGGCGATACAAGGCGATCTCCCAATGCCCACCCTCTACGCCTTGGCACAGCAAGACGCCCGGTGCGACCTGCAGCGCCAGCTCCACGACGGTAAGGCTGTTTTCGTCGAAGACGACGTCTACATCGTCGCCCCGCTTAGGAAGTACGATGCCTTCAGCGCCGCCTTATGGAACCGCGCACGGGTCCGGACACTGAAAGCTGTGAGTGGAGCTTCAAGCTCAATTGCTGATCATCGAGGTGGGGGCGGCAGCGTTCTAGATGCGAGTCTCGCTGTTGTGGAGACGGGCAGTCTAAGTCCCCCAAGGTTCGGTGGGTTAGGCCTTTGCATCCTGCCCTTCGCCAGTTCTCACTGGGCTTCCTGGTGCCACGCTGTCCCCGTCTTCGAGGCCCGCTGCTCCGGGCGTGGAGCGGTGAGGGGGTCTTGCCTTGTGCTACCGCTGCGGTCCTCTCGCGCCAGCACCCGTCCCCCTTGCCAAGAGGCCCGCCACGACCGTTGGCCCAAAGGCTGGCAGCGATTCGCTGCCCACGCACCTTTATGACCTGACACCTGCCTCTGGTGCGCTGCTGCTGTCCCAGCTGGGCCGTTCGCCGCCCGCTTTGCCGACGTCACGCCCACACGGGATAACGTCCCCATTGCCAGTGCGCTGTTTCGCGTCCTTCTGCTGCGCTGTTTGAGGCTCCCACTCCCTGTGGCGCCGTGCAGATGCAGCTGTCGGGAGCAGCTAAACCCGCCTGGTGACCACCGCTCCGCATGTGCAACCTCCGCCCGCGCCTTGCCCCTCGAGCACGCTGTTGTGCGCGTCTATACCGCGAGGCCGGCGCGAGGGTCGCCCGCGACATCCGGTTCGCAGACATGAACGTGGATGTGCGGGTGGCCGACGCACAGCGCATGGAGGATGTTGCACAATGTTGCACATGGTCTCATGCCCGGCTGCGCTGTCACTGCTGCAGCGCGCCGTAGGCGACATCATTCGTATACCCTGAGCTCGCAAGCGCCCGGCGGTGCAGCCTCGTCGTTTTCGGCGTCGAGGTTGGTAGCAGGTTCGGCACCGAGAAGGTGCAGCTCCTGCGCCTGCTCGCGCGACACCGACCCCTTGTCCTTGCCATTCCCCGCACTTTCCAGACCGGTCGCCATCACAACTTGGGTTGCGCGCTGGTCCGGACTCTTGGCCGGCGCATGCTGGGCTCCCTGCCGGAGTTGCCGTCCGCCGAAGGGCTTAGTGACGGACCACTGACGGACCCGTGCCCGACCACAGCGCGATGTCCTCGCTGACGTGCGCTCCGACTAGGCTGGCATGGCTCCGAGAGCACCCGGCAAAGAGACACCAGGCTTCACACCGCCATCCTCGCCGGCTCGGCCCTTCACAGATGCTCCCTGGCAAGATGCCCGCCCGCCGAGCTGAGTGCAATTATGCTCAATTCATGACCTGACATTCCTCCGCACGCTGCAACTCTCGCACGGAGCAGGAGCACAAAAAATTGTTGCAGGGATTTGCAGAGAACGGCACAAAGCGTACTGCGTCCACAGCCATGTGCAGCAACACAACCATCCAATCTTTTGCTTCTTGCGGCTCATCGTGCTTGGCTTCGAAGTTGTCGGATGTGGCACAGCGGTTCGTTCGAGACTTCGCGCGCATCCGCACCTGTGGTGGGCAGCTTTCGCGGTAGCGGTGCGGCGCCGTGACCAGCACGGCCTTGGCAGCCTGTGGCCCGCACCACCACATGCGAGCCAGCGGCTGGGCGCGGAGCTGGGCTGCATGCTCGACCTCGCATGACCTCGCCGATGCGGTGGGGCCGAGCCGTTTGCTGCTGCACTCGCTAGTCGCAGTAGGCACGCCTAGACCTCGCATGGACGGAGTGCAGGCGTAAAGAAAGGCCTGGAGAAAAAACTCAGTATCTCTCAATCCCTCTCCTTCCCAGCTATTGCGTTCTCCGGGAATTGCAGGCTGTTTGTTTTACCACAGCGGTTTGCACAGCGATTTGTTGTGCTTTGCGTCCTGTTGCGGGCGAATAGTTGCAATTGGTTGTTTGCAGGGCCACGGGCGGCCAGGGCAAGAGTTCTTGGTGCGCTACTTCTCGCATCAGGAGTCAGCATACATTAGTATGATAGTAGGAGGCATGTGCCGTGTGTTGAAAGACCGACATGCAGTGCATAGCTCGGTTCGAAGGAGCTGTCTGGTCAAGGTCGAGGAGGTGCCGAGGTCGGATGACGACAGTTGGTATTTTGGTGGATGTTTTCGAATGTGGTTCGAGCAGGTTCAACTTCTGATGGAATGGTGCGATGCTGGAAACTTGCTTGACCGACCCTTCGGCTAGTAAGCATCATGCAGCATGCTGACAAGAAGTTGGCCATGCCAAGTTTGGCCACGTTGATGGGGGGCACTGAGGAATATTGCATGGCGAGCCAAGCGGAGCTGCGTGCTTGAGCATGCAAAGGCATTTTGCCTCATCGACGTTTGGTTTTCTGATTTGAGCGAAGGATAGTATCGTTTCTCGAGGGAGTTAGCAGGCAGTAGCTAGTTTCCGAGTGTTTCGGTGGTGAAGGAACCGACGGGCCATGTAGAGGTTGAATGTTTGCTCCAAGGCGCTGCCCGAACATGGCTGAGGCCAGACTCGACGGATGTGATTCCTTCGTTGCTGTTGCTGAGCCATTGCCATTTGAGGCATCGGCAAGTTCGGTGCAGCTATAAAGTCTTGGTTGGAGCTTGGTGGTTGCCGACAGCGCGTTATAGCGCATTTTTCGCTTTATTATTTTGAAAGATTGTCCGTCAAATGGAGCGGCAAATGTTAAGCATGGCGTTGATCCAGGTGGAAACGAAGAGCATCGTGCGGCAAGCTGCAGCCGGACTTTCGCCTCAGAGCAGCAAAAAGACATGAGTGTTGGGTTGCGGCATTGTCCTTCATTCATCCAAGCAACCACTGAGCAGCAGCGTCCAGGTTTTTGCACGGCCTTGGGATTGTGCCTTGGCAGTACGTCTGGGCTGTCAACGGGGCTGCTGGAGGCAAAGTTGCATTATGAGGTCCACTACGACTTGAAACCGGAGGCCGACACTGGTGACGGAGCGTGTTTCGGGCAGATTCGGGCAGCATGTCAAGCGATGCCTCATGTGGCTGAGCTTGGTTCCCTGTTAGAATATCCTCTTCCACAACAGCCAGCTTCGCCTTTGCGACTTCGGCTCAGCGAGTGATCGACAGCCGGCGCCTTGGCACCCCGATATTTTCTCGAAGAACCGCCTTGATTTCCCGAACATTGCGCAGGTGGCCCGAATTCAGCAAGGAAACGCCACGCCACATCGTGCGAGAGGTGAAGTCCAGTCCAAGCACAGGCCAAACTCATCACGACCTTTGTTCTAGTGGGGTTTGCCACAGGTGGACCTGTTCTTCACACAGCGGACAACGCCCATGTTTCGGCCACCAGAGTTGGCGGCAGGGTTGCTTAGTGCCGATGGGTTCAGAGTGCGGCAACGTCCAGAAGAAGGCTTAAGGATGCTTAAGGGTTCCAGCCGCTGTCGCTCAGGACCCGGACCTCGTTCGCTTTCCCATCACCAGCAAGGTCAGCTGACTGGCATTGACCGGATCATGCTGGCAGAAGAACATGTCCAGATACAGTCGTCCGGGCGATGGCAGGCCGACCTGTTCATGCTTGGTTTGTCTTTGTTCCAGGCGGGCATTGCGCGTGTCGCTGTTGGCATTGGCATCGAATCATTTTGTACTGCATGATATTGTATGTACTTCTAGTGCCGTGCATTCGAGAACGCCCCGAGCCCACGAAGCATTCACCACGGATTTTTCCCAGCCATCTGCCACAGATGCTCTTCCGCGTGCATGCCTTCCCGATGGAGGGCAAGCTGGCGAACATTCATGCAAGGCCGATCATGACATATGGTGTGTTGATTCCAAAAGCGTTTTTCAAGTCCTGTCAATGCTGCACACTTTCAACTCCGGGCAGTGTGGTTGCCGATGCCGAAACGGTAGAACGCTAGAGCTCTGCAGGGTGCACGCTTCACGTGATGTGCTGATGCACAACCTGCCAGGTTTTGGATTTAGTTCTAGCAGATTCGGCACGTGAGAACTACTGCGCGATGTGGCAGATGATTTGTGGCGATCGGCAGGTACACATGTCCGGCATCTGCCAGATCAGTGTATTCCAAGGAGCAGATGGCCACACTCGAAGCGTTTTCACCTGAGAAGCGCGTGCAGGGACCACTTCAAGGCCAATGAACCAAGAGACAGAGACAGCGAGAGATCCCGCGAGCTGTTCAAGGCTGTTGCAAAGAGATCCGCGCGAACGGCCGACAGCGCAGGACCCACACGGCAGTAGAATCACGATCAGTGGTCATCACTTGGCACAAGCTCGGCGCAATATGCAGGAGCTTTCATTGCCCCTTGTCTGGATTCGGTTGGGCAGGGAGTTGCTGTGCCAGGTCTTGCATCACAATCGCATCTTGTTTTGGCTTTGCTGCGGGCTTCAGGTCAGCTCGCAAGAACAGCAATTTCTGGACGGAACACGCTTTCTCACAGTCTTCCCACCCAGCAGCCTGCATGTCCTGTCAATTTGCCTACATACTGACCGCGGGCAGCAGCTTCCAGTGGCGAAGCCATGGCGTTTGATGCACCTGGGACGCGTTATTAAGTGCCGAATGTGGTCGGGTAGCGAGTTCATGTGTAGAGGATGCCGCTGCAGAATGTTCTGGCCGGATTTTTCTGAACGAGCGCTTTCTTCCGGCATGATCGCGTTGTACTTGTATGAGTTTTGAGGGATGCCGCCCCACGAGCCATTTCAGCATTCTCGGTAGTATGTTAGTCCTGCCAGCGAGTTTGAAGTTGTCTCTGCGCACTTTGGGCAGTGTTCGCAGCATGCCACGTTTCCAGCCTATGCCACGTTTCCAGCCTACACCTCGAAATAACACAACCACGAAAACGGATTCTCAGCTAAGGCAGCTAGAACCTAATCATCGTATGATCCCCAAAACAGACCGTGATGAGGCATCATCCCCGGGGCAGTGCATGGAGTTTACGCGACTGTGTGAGCAGCTCTGCAGCATGCATCTCTGCAAGTGTGCCAGCATGAACCCTGAACTGCAAGATATCTTAGGAAAGAGGATGCCCTGCAGATGCGATGGGTTTTGATGGACCTGAGCCCAGACGAGCTGGACATGGCCAAGAGGGGAGAGGCGCGATGCTGCATTCAAGCTCTCTCTCTCTCTCTCTGTCTCTCTCTCTCTCTATATATATATAAATGATACATATATATATATATATATGTATATATATATATATATATATATATATATATATATATATATATTAAAGAAGGCGTTCACGTGAGTCGTGCAGTTTTGTACCAGATCCTGTTTCAGAATCACTAATGTCTCCGCTTGTTTGTTGCTATTCGATTTCGTTGACAATATGGGGCTGTTATTGCCATGTTGTGCACTGGAGTCACAAGAGATGCAATGCGGGCTCGAGGGGACAGCGTGCACTTCACCTCACGACACATCACTACACTAGTTTCCCTCGGGTAGAACCTGACAAAGCAGTCGTTCTCAACTATCGGCCGCGGCGGCCTCTGCGGCCCGCAGATCGCACAAGTCAGGTAGTCTAAGCTTGCCCAAGTGTGTTCGCAGCAGGGAGAGGCAGTCGGGAGCATGTCTCCTGCTCGCCTCCGACCCAACAAGTATTGCTACCCTGCTACTTCTGCCGGTTGTACTAGTTCTAGTACGAGCAAAGTCAGCCTTGTGCCCAGAGAAAACCCGCCGCCAATATCACCCCGCGGCCCTCAAGCCTCATGCACCAGCATCTATCTCAACAGCAGCGTCTAGTCTTGAGGAACTTTTTTGGAAGGGTTTGGCAAGCACCATCTTTTTGAATGTGGTAACCAGCATCCTTTCAGGGTTTGGGCTTCGGCCACAAACATCTCCTTGCTTTGGGACCAGCATCTCCCCGTTGCTCCTTTTTTGCGCATCCAGGGTTTCTCCGCCATCAGGTTCTTTCATTTTAGGGTCTTGGGTTTGGCAACCACCCTCTCCTTCTGGGGGTTTGGGCTTGGCAACCGGCATCTCCTGTTTGGTGACTCGGGTTGGGCAACCAACATGTCCTTTCATGGTTTTAGGGTTTTTCTTTGTTGGCAGCCAGCATTTCCTTTCCAGGGCATGGGGTTTCGCTCCTTTGAGGGGTGTTGATCTTGCCGCGTAAGGGGAGCACAGTTGTGCTATTGTCACTGCTACTACCAGTACTACACTACAAAGAAGACTGCTGCAGCTGCTGCTGCTACTACTAGTGCTACTAGTACAGTACTACTGCTACTACTACTGCTACTATAACTGCTGCGGCTACTACTACTACTACTACTACTACTACTACTACTACTACTACTACTACTACTACTACTACTACTACTACTACTACTTTGAGTGGGCCTAACTTGGTGTTGACGCTGTTTTTCCGTAAAGGCCCGCACTGATCCTGACGTTGAGGAACTCGTGGAATGCATTCCAGTCGTCGTTGCTCTCATAGAGCCCCGCGGACTGGGCAAAGCCGTGCTAGGTGGGTGACAAAAACTACTACGACGACTACTACTACTACTACTACTACGACTACTACGACTACTACGACTACTACGACTACGACGACTACTACTACTACTACTACTACTACTACTACTACTACTACTACTACTACTACTACTAACTACCAGTACTGCTGCGTCTACTGTTTGGTTTATCAGAAAGTCAAGTGAAACGCCAGCCGGTACAGGAACTAGCCACAATGGAAGTAGACGATACAGCATTTTTACTACATTTACGCATATCGCCACATCAAGGTACCACTTGGTGACTGGTGCTTATGCAGCTGTGGCAGCATAGGAACCGCGGCCATACTCCCACATAGTTAAGCATCAATCAGAAGCAGTAGCAGGAGGCGCAGCACAGAAGCAGCAGCAACAGCAGATTGCGCGGCAGCAGGTTGTGGTTGTGGTTGCGGTTGTGGTGGTTGTGGTTGTTGGCAGCGGCGGCATCTGCTTCTTCTCCTCTCCCGCTGTTGCTTACACTCCTGCTCCTATCCTCCTGCCATCTGTTGCTACTGCTCATGCCTTTGCTTTTGCTCTTTATTACAGCTGCAGAAGGTGTTCTGACACGCAGGTAATCACTTAGTGAGTTTGTGGAACCATTGCCCAGGCCAGGAAGCTGACCTATCATCTCCTCATGAAGAATGCCGTCGCCCGTCTGTTCCGGTTGAGTAGCATGGTCTTCAGAGGGGGAGTTAGTTTGTCACCCATCTTTGGCTTGTTGCTGTTCGGCTTGGATGCAACGTTGCTGTCAGAAATGTTTCGGAGGCGAGAACCGCCTCCAAGCTGTTTTGCTCTTCGTAGGAGGCAGCGTCAGCACTGCAGCCCTCGCCGGCCTCTGCAGCATTACGCGCCGCCGCGGAAGCGGCAATGCGTCGGGAGCAGCCTGGGCTTGCGCTTGGAGGGTTGCAGAGCGAGGGGGTGGGAAGAGCACAGATGCTTCGAGAGAGTAGCCGGTTAGCCGGACACCGAGGAAGCTGGAAGCGGCCGTGAAAGAGAAGGTCGACGAGGAAAGAGCAGAGCTCAACAGAAAGAGCCCTGCAGCAAGACTTGGCTGAAGAAATGCACGGGAGGCTCGCGGTCGAGAAGGGGTGTGAGAGACGGAAGGTGAAAAGACCTCTCTGGCAACTCATTGTGTCATCTGAGGATTGCGGCAGAAGCGGCGCAGCGCCGGCGGCTCTTCGCCGAGCTACGACACTTGTTGGATACGGCAGGGCTTAAGTTCATAGCAAGATGCAAGCTCGAGCGGGCCTGCACTGCAGCAACAAGACCAACAGTGTGGTGTGAGACTTTCAGTGCATGCAAGAAGTCGGGGTTCATGTCTGTCTGTTTGTGCGTGCGTGCGTGTGTTTCCGTGCATGTGTCGGTGTCGGTGTGTGTGTGTGTGAGTGTGAGATTCATCTTACCACGAGGGTGCAGTAGCTAAAAATTCAAAGTGGTCGACGGAGTGTAGCCTGCATCTACTTTCGTCTTCTTGAAGTCGGGTTTTGAAGCAACTGGGCAGCCAGCAGACTTTGGGCCCCAGGTATGAGGTGCTCCTTCGATACCACATCATAATCAGGGCTGTTTTTGGTTTCAGTCTATCAGATCTTTGACACCTCTGACTTGATGACAGCACTGAAGCACTGTCAGACGCAGTACAGCTTCCCTGTAGTTAACGTCAGTCTCACACAGCATCATTTTGATTCCAATTTGCAGTCATTTTGACAGCGGCGGAGTCCCAGAGTTGTCCACTGCTGCATCCTTTGACGTCATACCTGATGAGTGGCACGGCAGACTTGAAGGTTTAGGCCCTCATTTAGTCCCCAGCAGAGGCTTTTGGAGGCTGGATGCAAAAAGTTTATCAGATCCGGCAGGCGAAATAAGCCCGGATGCAAAAGTCTATCAAATATCAGTGTTTGAGTCATCCTCGGACATGAATTCTCTGGCTCACTTCAGTTTGCAAACTGCATGCTTACTGCACTGTAGGTCTGCAGGGGCACACCACATCCACAGCCTCTTGTGCGGAACAAAGCTACACTGTGCATTGTAACTATGTCCAGCCTGATCAGCTGCAAGTGACACAGCATCCGGATGAGAAGGTCGGCCACTCTGGCACCTACATTGCCGGTCTTCTTGACATGCAAGCAAGCAAGCCCGACATGTACAGGAAAGTTGCGTTGCATCTAGCATGGACAGGGTGAAATCACCATGTTGAGCTTGATTGTGTATACAGGTCTGTCGTCGCATGGGCAATGGGGCATCACTCTCACATCCAGCATGACACAGCTGTGCATCACAATGTGTTGTAGAATGCAAGGGGCTGGCAGCCGATTCCGTGATTTCACACACCAGAACAGTCTTCCGTTTCCCTGACAGTTGGCAGTCACCGGTCGACCAACTTGCAAGTGTGTCAATCTCTGCGTGAGTGTGTGTGTGTGTGTGTGTGTGTGTTGCGATAAAGATTTGGAGTGTCTGTGCCTCGAGGACAGATTCGACCTGCTCCTACACCTGTTCAGCATCCGCGTGCAGCTGTGAGGCAGTGAAGTTTGAAGTGGCGCTCTCGCCGGCCCAGTCGGCTCTGTAGCAGTCAAGATACCCCATGAAATCGCACAGTGCCTGCCTTCCACTGCGCGAGGATGCAGTTTCGAACGCAGTCGGCGAGCAAGCTCGGCGCAAGCCCGGCTTTTATGTCGCTTGGACTGCAGAGACATGAGAAACAGCGAGGGCAACCGCCAATGCACAGTGTCTGCGGCGTGCGGTGTCTGAAGAATTTCTGCCAGGATGGGCCTTGCGCCGAATGAGCTCGCAAGCGCGACTTGTCTCACACGTCAGCATTGCTAGCCCTGTACTGGCTTTCGCCTCCGTCTTGTAGCCAGGGAATTTCAGGAAATGAAGGGCATAAGCATCGAGGCCCACATGGGACGACCACAGTCAGCCGACCTCCGTCAGCTTTTAGACACACGGAGTCCGCTGCTTGCATGCAATGCTTCCGTGTGTAGGTATCTTTCAAAGCTAATCTAAGCGCCCCCAAGGGGCAGTTACCGTTTGCATCCGCTGGCCGCACGAAGGGCGGCCACCATGATTCGCTTCCGTGGACGCCAGGATCCTGCTTCTAGCGCTTGAGGAGCTGGTGGAGAAAGAGCTGCTCCCTGATTGCTTTCGCTACAGTTAACATGAAGGGTCCAGTAGGTTGGAACAGTTGTGTTGCGGATGACCAAATTGCTACTAGCATCCATGGCGACCAGATGCAGAACGACTCACAATTCATGAGACCGCCGCTGATATGTGCCACTGACAGTTTGGGAGTATTTGGACACTGCTGGGTCTGATTGTGTATTTGGACAATGCTGGGTCTGATTGGCGGCCTGCCCTGCTATCAGCCACAATCCACAGTGTCTCTATGAACTCGACTTGCATCCCGGAAGCCCGCAGTGCCGATATCAAGTCATCTCAGGACTGGCTTCATCCAGTCGAGTTCCGAATGCTGAGATGCGAGAAGACAAAAGCCCTGTGGCTCTGGACCTGTCGACTTGCACATATGCCTATGTCTGTGTAAGCCGGGAGGCAGGCCGCTCAGCACTTTTCGGTAGGAAAGATTGGAGTAGAGCTCTTTATGCTGGTTCGGATGCAGGTGGTCTACTGCAGTCTTTAGAGCATGCCTCCTTCTCCCGCTGGCCGATAGTTTGCACCAAATGGGCCTGCAGGTCCGCAGCAGTTTTGGGAGTTTGAATGTGCTTTTGAATCAGCGCCCTGTGTGTCGCTTGGACGCCCGAGCCCAAGAACAGGTCTCTCATTGCACAGAAGGCAGAGTTTGCTGATTGCTGGCTGAGCTGTAGACATGTGTTTTTCCCTCATCTCGGGCTCTGCCGTGCATTTCCCTGCAGGCCATGGCGCCCGCTGCTGGCCTGCGAGCCTTCTGGGATTGGGATGATCTCCCGGGTGTCCCAGGCGAAGCCGTGGAACGAAACGCCAGCACAGCCCACACATAGACGTCTAGAGTCTAGAGTCCAGAGTCTGGCTACTGTTGTCTTTCCGGACGCCGCGATCAGTTGGTTTGTGTTGGTTTCTGTTGCTCATGGAGACTTTGCCATAGAAGCCACAACTAACGACAGCTTTCGGCTCAGCGTTCCAGTTCCGATCCCAACAGTGCCTCGGAGCGTTAGAAGCCGCGAGAAGCCATGGATGTCATGCTGGAAGGGAAGGATGATGCCAAGGGCAGCAAGGCCGGGCTCCGCCGGAACTCTTCGCCGACTTTGATCTTTTACATATTATATACTTTTTTTACATACTATATGTTTTGTATTACCTATTACATATTAAGTACTCTTCTCGTTTCTTCTTTGGGGCCCTGCAGTGCTCCGCAGGTCCACATCCGAATGCAGCAGCGAAACGGCCGAAAGTCCTGGACAACGGTCGCGGGCTTTCCGGACCAGGCGAGCCTGCCAGTGCTGCTAGTGAACCAGTGTTCCAGTTTTTTCTTCAAGATCCCCGCTGAGACTTCCCTGCCCCTGGCTCCAGGTTCGCCTTCCAAAATCCGGCCCTCTGGTTGCACTGTGGCACTGGCACTGGCTCAAGGACTCAAGGGGCTTTTCTCGGCGTTTCTGGGCATGTGACCGCTAAAAACCACTGCACAACACCGCTTGATGGGTGCTTCTCAAATGTCAACAAGAAAGCGGTGTTTGAGGCAAGGTCCTGCAAGTTGACTTCGAGAAGATCCTGCGAGCGCTGAAAAAGTAACTTGGCCGACGTTGGGGACTTCGTTTGTTTTGCAACTGCCTTGGTGCAGATGCTTTCGGCCCCGGGTGTCTCAGGACCTTCAAGACCAACGGAGTCCTGATCAAGGACCCAGACCATGGCAGTGTCATGCAGCTCCAGGGCGACATCCGAAAGGAGGCTGGAGGATGGCAGTCTGATGACAGTCTTATGCTGTCTTCACCAGAAGCTGCATGCGTGGACCATGTGTATGGTGCCTGGCAGGTGGCAGAATTCCTGATTGAGGTGACCGCCATCATCACGAAGGACCAGGTGGACGCTCGGAGTGTGTAGGGCTGGAGGCTGAATGGTGCCAAACTCTAAGGTGATGATCCACGGATCTTGAGCGAACAGATTGCCGCTGATTGAAGCCGTGCAGCTGGTAGCGCGTGCCAGTGTTTCCCAGATGTAAGACATGGCGTTCAGACTTGGGCAAAGTCCAGAAACATTGAGTTGCAGCGCCACTGCTTCATTCCGGTGAGAGGCGGACGGTCTGTACTGCGACAGGCACACACAGTCTGCCTCTTCGCAGCTGTTTTTGAAGGCTGCCCGGAAGTAGGCCCAGCCCGGCATCGACACGCTCAGCCATGTCGCAGATTGCCCTTTGCCTCGCAGCCGGAGCCGTCGCGCTCCTGGCTCGCTTCAGCCCTGCAGCCTTTGCTCCAGCAGGCTTCCAGGTGCAATCTGGGCTGCAGCAGCCGGCGCATGGTGCAGGGCTGAGCGCCAGCACTGATGCCCCTCGATCCTTCGGCACGCTGGCTGGCATGGCCGCTGCTGGCATGGCCATTGGTGCAGCCGCAGGAGCTGCCGGCCGATGGCAAAAGGGTGCCAGCCTGTTGGCTCGGCGTTCCCATGCTGTGAAGATCTACGACACCTGCATTGGCTGCACTCTGTGCGTCCGTGCGTGCCCCACAGATGTGCTGGAGATGGTCCCGGCCACTATCAACGCAGCCAAGCAGGTGGCTTCGTCCCCGCGAGTGGAGGACTGCGTGGGTTGCAAGCGCTGCGAGACGGCCTGCCCTACCGACTTCCTGAGCATCCGCGTGTACCTGCAGGACCGATAGCCTAATGTGTTTCTGCATGAATGCGCCTGAGTAATGAATCAACTCGAGTCCCAGGTCTCCTTCGCATGTGAGCTCATGTGCTCCCTCATGCCCACGCCCATGCCCACGCCCATACCCAGGACAACGAGGAGACGCAGTACAGCTTGGGCTTGGACTTGGTGGACTGGTCCTGAGAAGCGAGGGTTACTTTCGATGTCTCTGGTAGCCATATTTCTGGGAGCGTGTGATGGGGGACTTGCAGAACACATCGTAGACCCCCTTGACGACTGGTCTCCCTCTGAGCCCCTGTCCGCACTTCCAGTTAAGAGGTAACAATTCCGGGCATGCCGAGGACAGAAAGTTACCGTGTTGTAGATGGCTTCAGCTGCACCACCCAACGTAGCGGACAGAGAGAGTCTTCTTCGTCTCTTTTGCTTTTGCGTATTGAGCACTACATCTGAGACTCTGCTTTTGCATGTGCATCGAACTTCGGCAGCTGTTTTTGAAGGCTGCCCGGAAGTAGGCCCAGCCCGGCATCGATACGCTCAGCCATGTCGCAGATTGCCCTTTGCCTCGCAGCCGGAGCCGTCGCGCTCCTGGCTCGCTTCAGCCCTGCAGCCTTTGCTCCAGCAGGCTTCCAGGTGCAATCTGGGCTGCAGCAGCCGGCGCATGGTGCAGGGCTGAGCGCCAGCACTGATGCCCCTCGATCCTTCGGCACGCTGGCTGGCATTGCCGCTGCTGGCATGGCCATTGGTGCAGCCGCAGGAGCTGCCGGCCGATGCCAAAAGGGTGCCAGCCTGTTGGCTCGGCGTTCCCATGCTGTGAAGATCTACGACACCTGCATTGGCTGCACTCTGTGCGTCCGTGCGTGCCCCACAGATGTGCTGGAGATGGTCCCGGCCACTATCAACGCAGCCAAGCAGGTGGCTTCGTCCCCGCGAGTGGAGGACTGCGTGGGTTGCAAGCGCTGCGAGACGGCCTGCCCTACCGACTTCCTGAGCATCCGCGTGTACCTGCAGGACCGATAGCCTAATGTGTTTCTGCATGAATGCGCCTGAGTAATGAATCAACTCGAGTCCCAGGTCTCCTTCGCATGTGAGCTCATGTGCTCCCTCATGCCCACGCCCATGCCCACGCCCATACCCAGGACAACGAGGAGACGCAGTACAGCTTGGGCTTGGACTTGGTGGATTGGTCCTGAGAAGCGAGGGTTACTTTGAGCTTGAGAAGGTCCAGCCACCAGTTGTACAGGTTGGCGGGACTTGATTCCGCGGTAGCACTTGCCTTTATTGAGCATGCGACTCAAGCAGCACAGCTAGGATTAGAGTGTTCTTTGCTCCTCCGTGCTTGATTTTGTTCACCCGGATCCTGTTCGATCCAGACCAGCCGAAGCGAGGAACATGCGAGTGTGAATCTGGCAAACAAAGATGGTTGTTGACATTCGCGGTATTGCAACTGACGAAGGTGGGCACTAGGTCCACCTACTACAGTATCATCGCCTCGGGCATTCGCCGGGCTTGTTGTGCAGCACTCGTGTCCTCGACTCTCGTTATGCATGTCGCCGCTGTTTTGAAGGCTGCCCGGAAGTAGGCCCAGCCCGGCATCGATACGCTCAGCCATGTCGCAGATTGCCCTTTGCCTCGCAGCCGGAGCCGTCGCGCTCCTGGCTCGCTTCAGCCCTGCAGCCTTTGCTCCAGCAGGCTTCCAGGTGCAATCTGGGCTGCAGCAGCCGGCGCATGGTGCAGGGCTGAGCGCCAGCACTGATTCCCCTCGATCCCTCGGCACGCTGGCTGGCATGGCCGCTGCTGGCATGGCCATTGGTGCAGCCGCAGGAGCTGCCGGCCGATGCCAAAAGGGTGCCAGCCTGTTGTCTCGGCGTTCCCATGCTGTGAAGATCTACGACACCTGCATTGGCTGCACTCTGTGCGTCCGTGCGTGCCCCACAGATGTGCTGGAGATGGTCCCGGCCACTATCAACGCAGCCAAGCAGGTGGCTTCGTCCCCGCGAGTGGAGGACTGCGTGGGTTGCAAGCGCTGCGAGACGGCCTGCCCTACCGACTTCCTGAGCATCCGCGTGTACCTGCAGGACCGATAGCCTAATGTGTTTCTGCATGAATGCGCCTGAGTAATTAATCAACTTGAGTCCCAGGTCTCCGTCGCATGTGAGCCCATGTGCTCCCTCATGCCCACGCCCATGCCCACGCCCATACCCAGGACAACGAGGAGACGCAGTACAGCTTGGGCTTGGACTTGGTGGATTGGTCCTGAGCGGCCCCGATGTAGAGGTTTTTACAAGTCATCCGCGAGGCTGCGTGTAGTTCAGCAGCGGTCACAGACACCGCTAGTTCATCCGACACATGCCGAGCACATGGGCGGAAAAGCGTATGCTGACGTTTTTCCGTCGTCCATCTGCAGTATGTCCGGAAGTTTGGAAGGGAGCTCAGGCCCTGTCGACCTCAAAAATGAATTGACTGGCTGCTGATGTTTCAGGCGCATACACGCCAAAGCACCGCGAGTTGCGAGAGACTTGTGCGAGGCCCTTATTCTGCTTTTCATGAGGTGTGGGGATGCACTGATGCACTCGGGACCGGCCCATATCTGTCAGAGCCGACAGAGGGTGCCTGTCTTGTGGTGAGACGTCCGTTTCCCGCATTAGGCTTGTGGTGCCGTAAAGCAGGTTTGTGGACAACGACATGTTGCCCTACGTAGATGCGCCGGGGTCTGCACTGGATGGGTCAACATTCGGCCTTACGCTGTTGCCTTGGTTTCGTGAATGGCTAAGGACTGGGAGGAGGCCGGAGGCTTTCCGAAAGATCTCCATCGACGTGCGTACCAGGTGCGAGGAATGCGCGCCAGAACGGCGAGCTCCGGGTTTCTCATAGAGCCGTATCGTGAAGTCTGCACGACGTCAATCGTCAAAGAAAGAATGAAACTCTCTATACTATATCCAATCTGATGCAGATGGGGCGGACCGGCTCTAGCATGACAGGCTGGTGTTTATGGAGCTTTCTGGCCCGAGAAGTGCCCGCCTGCTCCGTACAGGACTGATTAGTAAGTTGTTGCTGAATAGTCCCGATGGAATGTCGCTTCTTGGAGCTGCAGCTGTCGGAAGATCGGCAAGAAGTCACGTCTAAGCTCGGAGGTACGGCGGTACGTTTCCAACTGCTGAGGAGGCAGACATGCAACTTGGCCAGAAGTGTCGTTTCGTTGCACCACGACGTCGTGTTTCTTCAGGGGGTGTGGCATAGATACAGCCGTGACCGTTGCCTGAACCGTCGACCTAGTTTACGATCTGCAGAGGGGCTTCGGTCACTGGATGTTTGGTGCCTTTGGCCGAGGTTTCATTACTTCATCTTCTACGACGAATTAGCGCGCCCGTGCGCCAGTGGTGCTAAGCCCAGATCGCCGTAGTTGCCGAAGTTGGTGCTTCTCTGCGTGGGAGGAATCAAGTTCGGGTGCGTAGCCTGCTCGAAGTCGATGCCAAACTGAGAAGGAGAGCAGGGCAGGGCAGCCAGGGCCAGCTTTGGGACTCCGAACTTGGGACCTTTGAATGTAAGATCAGTCTCTTCATCCCCAAGGCAGAGTGTGACACCGCGAAGAGAGTGTGCCTTTAAGGAAGACTTTTCTAGTTCCATGAGACTCCATGTCAGGCCTTTACGGCTCCCTGATGACGCACAGCATCTCGCTGCCACCGCTGCTGGAGCTCGGGTTGTTGTGTGCCTGTGCAGAGAACAGCCTGCTTAGTGACCAAGCAGAGCAGGAGCTCGGCTCCGAGAAGCAGAAGGAGGTGGGAATGTGAGCAGCAGTGGCACTTCTTCAGCGTTGAGTTTGCTGGCGTGCAGACGCCTTCCCCCTAGCAGGCCCCGACCAAAGATCCCTGGCCAGGCTGTCGCCAGCTGCTTTGCCCAAGTTCAGCTGTGGTCTCACGCCGGAGGGAGGTGGTTGCGAAGCTAAGCATGGGCCCACCGTTCTGGAAGGCCCCTTCCTGCAAGCATCATTGCCAAGGTTTGGGATTCCGTTGCCGCGAGCTGTTCAGTGCAGGAAGCCTTAGGAGAATGAGGTGTTTCCTGTAGGCTTCAGGATTTGGTTAGCGACTTCCGAAATTCACTCTACGCCGCTGCAGTGTGTGCACAATTGGCCAGGCAAAGCAAGGCCATGAATCATCCTCAAGAACCTCACCCGAAACCGCCGATGCATGTGCAGCTAAATACGTCAAAAACTATTGGCGCGTGCTAACGCCAACCCTCGGTGTCACGGCGGCCTTTCCAACTCTGCGAGTGCTTTGTGCCATGCCCCGTCTGAGGACAAATCATCTCTGGTGAGAGCCCGGGTCGCATTGCGAATGCAGTTGGGTTCTGTGTGGGGCTTCTCCAAGCGGCACTCACGTGCGGTTGGCTGTTTCTGCAATGCACGGGGACCTGGATGCGCCATTCCAGGAAGACCTGCTGCCTGGCCGTCACGGAACCGGGAGGTGGCTCCGACGTGGCCAATGTACAGACTACAGCAGTGCCCTGGTGGAAACCCGGTTTGCCGCTTCAGAAGCTGAGTGTACAAGATCTGTTGCGCGGAATATCGGCAAAGCAGGTCCTGGACGCCAGCGGAACGTACTATGCGACTCAGCTAAACATGTGGTGCTGAGCTCGGGATTGACCATCAATCCTTACTGGTGCATCACGTTGCCCAGCTTTCTGGAAACTCGCATTTAGCGCAGTCTTAGTTCCACGTGCCACCCTACTCTCTGCAAGGTGGTCAACGGCCAAAAGACTTTCATCTCAGGGGGGATGCATGCCGACTACTTCACCACAGGGGTCCGCACCAGTGGCAAAGCCGGCAGCCAGGCGCCTTGGTACCCGTGAGTTCTGGTTCTGAGCCGGCTTCGCGTGCATCGTGAGATGCTGCAGCTTGGGGCACTGAACACCCCTTCTTCAAGAGCCGACCTGGCAGGGCATCTCCGTCTTGCTGGTGCCACGGCCAAGTGCTGGTCTGAATACGACGCGCTTGAAGTTCTCCAGCCGCAAATCTAGACTTGGAGCCTGGGCGGAAGGCGAAGGTGTGGTTTTGCTAGGCCAGGATCCAAAGTGTTGGCACGCAACAGCGGGTCTGCAGCCCATTTCCGCTCATCGGCAGATTCAGATGTCTAAATCCTAGTGCGACCTTGTGACATCAAGCCAGTGCTCGTAACAGCCCGAGAATCTGCTTTGAGAGCAGGGCCTAAGTGTCCGGACGGCTGGCTTGGGGATTCCTTCTGAGCCCATGAACTCTTTGTGCAGGACGCAGGGATGGCACCTCAGCTCCACGCTGCGTGGCTGGACAAGGGGTGAGCTCCTCCGAGTTGTTGTTTTGTTCTTGGAAGTTTGGGGGCTCAAAGCTGGAGATGGAGGATATCCGCCCTCTACCCAGTCTGTTGTGCAGAGGATTGCTGCAAACACATATCCGAAAGCTTACCGAGGACATTGGTGACCTTTGACGAGGTCAAGGTGCCGGCAGAGAACTTGCTGGGGCGAGAAGGCGGGGCCGAGCGACCTGTGAGAACGTGAGAGAGGTCGGGATAGCAATGTCCACATGAGTTGAGTATGATACAATGATACACTTGTTCGCCCGGTAGCCGTTACGGTTTGGGTTGGCCGGCTAAGTCTACAAGATTTGACTTGGGACCTTGCTAGGTTTGTGATGGCGATCTCTGCAGGTGATGGTTTTCTGGCAATCATGCGGAACTTCAACAATGAGAGGACCGGGGACCAGACCGTTCGTGACTCCCTTAGCGGCGCCTTGAGTGCCGGAGTCTGAGAGCAGGCTGGCTCTGGCGATCATCGCAAACCGCCAGGCGACTGCAGCGAATTTGGCAGTGCCATCAGTGGGCCTGCTGTTCTCTTTGCGATTGTGAAGGTTGCGTGCGTGCACACGAGAGAGGGTTCTAGCGTTCAGGGAAAACAGACAGGTCTGCCGTGCGGAGAGCGCGCAAAAACGTTGACCCCCTTGTCGGCGCGCTTCATTGTGTGTGTGTGCGTGCGTGCTGACGTCCTGTGATTCCACAAGATACGTTGGAAACCGTTTCCCTGAGAGCCAGATTGTATATTCCAATACATTGACAGTCTTCCCGAACCCGGCCAGTTTGGGCAAGCGCCGGCTCCCAAATCCCGTCAGTACTTTGCGGAAATGGCATGGTGGCCCTGCTCCTGAAGAGCTGTTTGGTGCGTTTGGGATCTGCACTGGCTGGCTTGGGCATTCTTCGAAAAAACGTGAGCGGATTGGGCCACGCCATGGGGGTCCTGTCCAGGCCCGGGTCTGCCTGGAAGAGACGGCGACGGCCCCAAAGGAAGCTTTCAGCTTTCGGTGAAACCCTACTGTGACTAGGAGCACTTCTCCGGGTTCGCTTCTATGTTGCATAGCTTGAGTCGACAGGATGCATGCAGGGCCGAAAGGCGGCCATGACGTTTCGTCAAAATCTGGGCCTATAGGGTTGCGAAGTGCCACAAGGTGGACCGAGACTCTGAGGGTACGTGACTTAGCTAAGGTCAGATACGCACAGGACTCTTGGCAGAAATTTATTGATGTCTTTCCCAGTTAGCCCTGACGTTGCAAGCAGCTCGAGAATGTTCCATGTCCTTAACAAGTCATTGTCTCACGCCATGCCGCCCACAGAACCTAGGAATAAGGTGTAACCTTGTGTATTCCCATCCCGTTACAAATCGCACAACGGCTGAAGTTGCACGATGGTGCCTTCTGTTTGTCAGATCCGTTGCGCGTGAGCCGTTGAGGTGCGCAAGACCTTCGGCAAGCCGCTTTCGACGCATCAGGCGTCAAGATTCAGGGTCGCATGCCCTGCATGCGTCTTGAGGGCAAGAAAACTGTCCAGGTCATCCGCCACAAGCTCATGGAATGTGGTCGCCGGGTGCTTGGCTGGATTGGGTGGATGCTAATTGGGCAGCTGGTTTGCGGAGTCAGGATTCCAGATATTCCAGGGTTTTTGATTTTGGCTTGTGCGCGAACAGCAGATGTGGATGCCCGCTGCTGGGGCCTCCTCCTCCTCCTCCTCCTCCTCCTCCTCCTCCTCCTCCTCCTCCTCCTCATTAAATGATGTCCCCAACGAAAAGCATCGTTCCTGCCTTCACGACATTGCACGACTGCCTGCCCGGAATCGACAAGCTTCATCAGCCTGCAAAGGCCACATTATGGCCACCAACGGCATGATCCTTTCCATCTGTGCCCCTTGGTCGTTACGCGGTCGAGGGCTGGAGGTTTCGGCGCCAGCAGGGGTGTGGCCGCGCTTGGAGTCCAAGAGCCAAGGGTTGTTTGATGTTGTTTGCTTGTTGCCGTTGTTTTAGCGCCGGCATCTCGCGGAAATCCCACAAGGCGCAGAAAGCCCGGCCTGCAGATTCCTCGGAGCAGCTTGCAGGCGCCATCGCCTTGGCAAAGGCGCCTTTCTTCCGTCGAAAGGGGGTCTTGCAGCGTGCTGTGCATTGACTCGGGGGACCACTATTGCTATTCCAGGGGGATTTTGTCTCTGGCCTTTCGGGGTGTTTCTTTGCCAGGAGCTGCTCTTCACCACAGCTAACATCAGGGGTCAGTCTTTTCTGGTCTCAGTCGTTTCCTAGAGCTTGAACCGTCCCGCGGTTGGCAAGTGTTGGCTGCTTCCTCTAGTTTCCTGTATTTTGTTGTTTTCATCGTTTCGATGTACGGGTAGCGAAGTGTTTCTCACACTTCGCGGCGACATTGTCGTCAGGCTCACAGTTCGTTGCCGTGTTTACATGTTTCCATAAGTTCTACTGTTGCACTTCTCAATTGTACTGTTCCCATGACATGGGAATGGCTTCAGGGTTGCCAGAGGCTATCGTTTGAATATTTGCTTCGACCGTCGGAGGTTCAGGCGACGAAGAGCTTCGAGTTCGTGGCCCGTGAATGCTCGCAGGCGGAACTCTGAGGGCAGCTGATGTATCTCTATCTGCAGATGAATGTGCATGTGTACGTGTATGTGCATGTGTAAGTATGTGTAAAGACAGAGATGCCGACAGACGCGCGCCGCCTGACAACGCGATCTATCGATCCTTTCTCCGATCATCCACGCATCAGTTCATGTGCTCAGAAGTTTCATTAGTTTCATTTGCTCATTCATTCCTTCATTCTGTACTTCCCTTTTGATTCAGCTGCTTCCTTCCTCTTCCTTCAAGCAGTATCCAGCATTGCCGGTGTTGCTAGCGGTTTTGTTGCGCTGTTGGTCCTCCGTGAGGGTGGTATGCGATAGCTAGTACAATTTTTTGGTCTCATGTTGTTCCGATACTGTGTTGACTTCAAGGCCTGTCATGCCTCCGTTTCACCCTGTCAAGTATCAGCAGACATGATCTCCGCTGGGCTGCTAGCTTTTCCTCAGCTTCGCTCGCAGAACCTTTTGTATCAGATGTCTCTCATCTGGTCAGGTCTTCGGAGGCAAGTCTTACCTTCGGCGCCTCGGCACGCTTCGGCCAAGCTGAAAAGCTTTTTCGCCGCTTTCGTTCATAGGGCCGCCCAGGGGACCTTTTTGGGGCCCAGGGGCCCCGGGAAGAGGGCCCAGGGCCGCATAAGGTCTGGGCCTGGCCGCATCGTGGAGCGGGCCTACCGGGAGGCTCGGCCAGGGCCAAGAAGCCACAGCCTGGGGCCTCCGTTCTGTGGCTTTTTGATTTTGAGGGTTGCATGGTGACACGCCCCATCCAAAAGGATCATTTCGAATCGATTTAGCTGTCTCCAGGTGATATCAAAGCCCAACACCAAGCCCCGGATCCATTCTTCGGGAATTTACTGCCAGTCGCAAGAGGGGCAGCGAGCCAAACGGTCTGGTTTCAAAAGCGGTGAGCCAAGTCTGCGGTTGATCCGCATTGGGGTGACAACGTCTTCTGTAGCCTGCCTTGTAAGGCCTGGAAGTCGATTCCCGCCGGGATCGGAACCTGTTTGGAGGTACGCGTCCTCGCGATGGGAGGCGGCTCTGAGGACCCTCTGGCAAAGAATTCTCAAAGTGCAAAGCCTTCGAAAAGCAAGCAGAGCGGCAGAGGCGAGCAAACACCTAGAACCAAAGACTGACCAGCGTGGACCGAATGCAACAGACTTTTGGCAAATTTCGAGAAGCAGGACAGCTTTGTGAGAGCTGGCTATTTTTATGCAATGAGAGCAGGAGATCATGCTCGACCTCGCCTCGCGCCAAGCCAGGCCACTGTGCAGCATTGGGGTGCTCATCCAATTCTTCCCAAAGGTGGACATGCCCCATCACCCACATCCCCTGCATGTAACTTTTTTTTTCTGGATCGCTGGGGCAGGGGTGTTGTGTTGTGACAGCAGCCTTATGCCGGGAATCAATGCGGAGAACAGATGTCACCCTGCAGACCATAGACCATGATCCAAGGCTTTGACGGCATCTACTTCCCTGGTGACCTGTGGACGTGCCGCGGCCCTGGGTGACTCTGAGAGTGGGCGGCCGTTGGATACTGCCACCATTCAGTAGCAGTTGAATAAGATGTCCTCATAGATATATCAGGACCGTAACAGGGGCCTCTTATTCTGCTACTGTGTGGGGGCAGTACCCGAGGCGGCCTGTTCTTTGCAGGAACCCGATGGTGCTCCTTCGAGACAGCATGGACACTTGCGGGGTCCCCCCACACGCCACATAGCTGAGCTTCTTGCAGATGAAGCTGAGGATTGTCCAAAGTCCGCGAAGTCGCACGTGGAGTTTGAACATGCTTCCCCTACTGCCACGCATGGACATGGTCTTGCATCACTGCAACATACTGCAGCACTGTTGCTCCACATTCCCTGTTTTTCTGGAAGCAGTTCGTGCCACAGCGCGGGCCAGATTCCGCTCAGGTCTGCGCTGACAGCTGCTTGCAGCACTTGTGGCGAAGCGTGGAGTCAGGTGCAGGCAAAACTTCCCAGGGGAGCTCGTCGCTTAGCCATTTTAACGAGACGCCTTTGGCTTGGGAAGGCGGCCTTGAGTAAGGGACGCGCCGCGCAGTTTCTGTTGGATGCCAGAGTGGGGCCAGAGAAGCCCCATTGCACGCGCGGCTGCACGAGTGCCTTACAGTGACACCCCGCAGACCTCCCTTGGAGCAGTTGGGCGTCAAGAAAAGGCCGCGGCCAGCCCAAGGCCAACGTGTTAGTATGACAGCGAGGGGTTGTGAATGATGTCTCGACAGACCCATCAGTTTCAGATGCAGAGAATGCAACGACTGATTTTTTTTGGCTTTCGGCTTTGCGAGTTTTCATCCGGCGCAGAGATGTCGCAGAACTGTAGCTGGCGGTCTTGAATCTGCTCAGGGACTCCAGGCTCGTACCACTGTTCCTGCGATGTTCTGAGAACCCAGCTGAAACATATTCCAGGCCTGACGGCCCCGTGCAGAGTCCCACCACCACCAGCTGCAGCTTTGCGACTTGACGCTAGTAGCTAGTACTCTCGCGACAACCACCAGAGCCAGGCCGGAAGATGAAGGTGAACTCCCGCAGCGCAGTCTACAGTGCTCTATATACTTCCGGCAGCGTCACTGCCAACCCGACTCACTAACAAACAGTAGCCATGCCATCTAATGGCGGCCAACTAGCTGCACGGCCATATCTTGATGTCATCCGTGAGACTATGTTCTTGCCTTGTGCCCTGCCCAGTTCCGTTCCGTTGCCACAGACACGCAAAGCAAACATCCTTGTGGCTTGTGCTCAATCTTCAGCAAAGGCATATTTGCCGCATGATAGCAGATGCAAGCAAGGAGCTGGCTGCTGCAATGTTTCTTCACGTGAAGCAAGTAAATACATATGGGTGGTTGTCAAAATCATGGTTCCTTTTTGGGTCCCTATTATAATACGGCACCTATTATTTAGGGTACCTGAAAAGGGACCATATTTGTGTTAACCACCCCTTTGAAAACGAATCGGCAGGGCCTAGAGTCTCCGACAGCCAGGCACGCAGAAATGCTGGTACAAGTATCAATGTGCTTCTGTGTGCCATGGTCGCTGTGGCCGTTTCCTTGCTGAGCGGTGTGCTTCTGCTGCATCGGAGCAGATGGGGCCTTGGAGCCTGGGGCCCTCGGAAATGTCGGAAACTAAAGGCACCACGACGACGACAAGAAAACGAGCGACTCGAAAGCTAAAGGCCTATTGCAACTGTGGCGTGAGCACTCTAGGAGCGCCTTTTCGCAGTCGTGTGCTGCTGTAGACACCCCGAAAGCTGAAAGTTAAAGTCCAACGCTAGGCAGACAATTGGCCCAAGCAGTAGGGCGGCTGCCTTACATCTGTAGTGTTGTGTTAAGCTACAGTTACAGTGGGGGCTCAGGCACAAGGCGGGCGAATTGAGTACAGCAAGGGGAAAGCGCAGGGTAGCGAGCAAGCCCCAAGGCATGTCTGACGGTGGAGCTAGCCACCCCAGTTGTGGCGCGGCTGCGTGAAGAGGCCATGGGTATCCAGGAATCAGACATTCGAACTTTGTGTTGGTGTAGTACGTTGTAGTACCATGTAGTAGCTCATCATGCCATGGCCAAGCTCACGGCCTTGACGAGGTCGCCAAGGAGCTGGATGTCCTGGCATGCCAGATCCGCCTGACTCGAGCAGGGCCGCTTTGACGTGGGTTCTCAGGTTGTTATGGAGAATGTGAAAGCCAACGAATCCTCACGGACTTGGCACCTGTGCGAAAGAACGTTGCAAAGCTTGTGATCGGAAATCGAGAAACTTCTTAGCAGTTCCTCGCACAGGGCCGAGCTTGCTGACGATTCAACTCTGGCAGCCGAAGGCACTTCAGGGGTTCCAGTGGGCCTGGCATAAGGCATTGTACATAGACATAGGGCGGTTGGAGTGGTGGAGGCAACGGGACGCAGAAGGTTTGTGCAAGAGTTCATCTGCGCTCCAGGTGACAAGGAGGCTGCTGATGTGGAGGTCACGCAGCGTTCGGCAATTCTCCCGTGTGAACTTGCATGCTGATGCTGGTGGTCGCACATCAGAGCTCACAAGTGTAATGCCTTTCCTCTAATGTCAGCGACGACTTCCTTATCGTTCGAAGGCTATGGTGGTGCCGATTCTTGACTTCCCGTGCCACGAATCTCTGGCAGCAGCTTTCATGAGCATGGCTGAGGTCCTTTGCAGCGGGGCCTACTTCTGACGGAAAGTTCGAGCTAGCACTTTGTCTTGAGCGACGAAAGACCAGACCATTATGGGCCACCCAGGGTCCTGAATACCTTGCCGCCTGTAGTTCGTGCAACATCACAAGCTGTTGAACCGTTGAACGTGTTTATGAAGTTAAGGGGCGCCTCCGGCCTGTCCAGTCTGAGATGTGCACCAAGGATCGATACCCCGGAGCCGAAAGATATGTGGCCTGCTCTGATGTCACTCACCGCTTTGGAACAGGGTGCTTGAACGAACACAGATGTAGCGCCACGCGAGGCGAGTCAGCTGAGCATCGAAACCCGTAGTCTGAACCCTGGGTTCTTGCAAACATGTGTTGGAGCTTCCCATCTCATCGAGGCTTCTGCCGTCCCGACTTTCCCGTGTCGCGAAGATGAGCGATGCCTGCCCGAAGCTGACCTCAGATGGTAAGTTTCGGGGCCTCCAGCTGTTCAGGGTCAGGTCATCTTGTGCCCGCAGTAGCTACACGTCTGCCTTCAGATCTAGGTATTCCGTCGGGAGTAATGTGCCCGGAAATCCCCGCACGGCAGCCGTGTCGCTTCGCAGCTCTCCGGGCCTAGCTGTGGGCCCGGCGGCCACAGGGGCCGAGGCGCCTCGGCCAAGTCAGGACCCGACGCTCAGATGCTTGCAGGGGTTTTGCAGTCCGTGGGCCACGGCTCAGGGCTGTGAAGAGCTTCGGCCCAGCTTTCTGCTAAAGCCAGAGGTGGCCAATGGCTCCTGTGATCGAGTCAGCCGGCGTGCGCCTGCTGATTGTTCTGCGGCTCGGCGATATTGGCGGAGAAGGAAGAAGCGGCTCCCCAAAAAAGCTGATGTAGCATTGCGCCTTTCGGACCTTAATTCAAACAAGTGTAAACAAATGCTCCCGGACCCAGGTGTGTGGTGGTCTGCACCGTGCTGCTGAGCAACCAATACCTGGACCGGGATTCGGGTTCAGGCTCTCACACAAAGCCCAACAAGAAGCACTCTCGCCGGGCTTGTTCTGTGTCCTGCTTGGCTCGCGGGAGCGGTAGCTGAGCGGTCGGCTGAGCTTGTCGCGCAAAGCCATGTATGTGATTGGGGTCAACTGAAACCCTCGGTTCACAACCTTGCCGAGTTTGCCCTTCCTGCTCATGGGCCATCGTCTTTGTTTGCAAGCCAAGACAGCAGCCGGCCATGCATGCGAGGAAGAGCTGCTGCCACAGGTAAAGGTCTCCGAGCTTTGGCCAAACTACATTGGTTTGGACTCTGATTTGGGCAGAATGGAGCATGCTCAGCCCACCTGAAGTGCTTAAACTCTTCACAGGGAAAGACTTAAGAATACACCTCAAGCAAACCCGCAGCAGAGTCGGGCCCAGGCGGAAGTCGCATGGGGCTTGGTCTCTAAAGGCGCCTTGGCTTTCCCACTGTGGTACCTTAAATGTTGTTGCTTCCCTGCAACTGTGCACTTCTTTGCCGGCGCTGATCGGGGAACTAGCTGTTTGCCTCTGAGGATATGGATTGCTCTACGTCATGGTCTTTGCGTCGTTTCATAGCCAGGCCACGGAATCCAATGACGCTCCTCATCTTCCTCCTCAATTTCGAAAAGGAAAACGCTTTGAGTTGCTTATTTGGATGCTCCTGTCACCCAAGCCTCTAGCACGCCTTTATCTCATGGATATTTGTCTGAGAGGTCGTGCCTCTTTGCGGCAAGACACTTGGCTCACGTCGGAGGTTGAGGTCACGGTGTTGAAGTTTGCTCTCCGGGTTTTCCTGGTGTCGTGGGGGCTGGATTGCACGACAGTTTGCATTTACAAAGCTTATGCGTGGAGCCCAAAAACTCCCGCATGGAACCAAGAAACCTGTTTATACAGCCGGGCTTGCAACCCCGTGCCTTTGCGAGGCATGCATTGGGGTCCAATTAAAGTACTCTACTCTATTCTACGACTACTAGCAGCAAATGCCAAGGGGCCGCGGGAGTGGAATATGGTGGGACGGAGTGGGGCTGGGTGGGGCTGAGGAGGGGTTGGGCAACCTGCCAAAGGCTTTCACCCAGTTCCTGAGTTGGATTCAAGAAGAACCTACGGTCTGCAGCGTGTGACCACTCCTTACCCAGTCAACTGTTTATGTCTTTAAAGATCCGAGCCCCTAGCGAATTGCAGTTTCGATAATTTTGGAGTTATGCATATGCTGCACAGAGAGGCCCTTGCCCAGAGAACTGCATCAAGCTAGCCCAGCTGCATCTGTGCAGCATTCGTTGAAACCCACACCAGAGATCTGCAGTGTTCTGCCAGGAAAGGAGTTTCGCCAGTGTCCGACCTTCTCTCGAGGGCGAGCAAGGTTTGCGACTGTGGTGCTGACGATCAATATCGTTCATGGTTGCTCAAGCCTCTCTTAGCTTGTGATGGATCTTTGGCCTACTGGATCAGGACTTTTCTGGCTACCGGAAGGTCCTGTACTTTCCGACTCTCGGAGCACTGGTTCTGAAATTTCCCAGGATCATAGAATCATGGCTGTGCCGCTGGAGAGCATATGATACGAGCCACATGACATGGCTTGCCTTTCTCAAGGGCTAGGCAGCCAGCCTTGTGCAATTTCGAATGCATGTCTTCCCGGCCAAGGACCCTTCTCTGGCTTGATGATAGCGACGCCATGCTTGTGGGCCTGAACGGTGTTGGCGCGGCCCTGAGTGCTGAGGGGATGCTGAGGGGCGAATCGGTGCGAGACTGATTCAGAGCAACCTCCGGGCTGACCCTAGTCTTGACAGGATGCCCGAAGGATCGAGTTCCGAAGAATTCACTTAGAATGTCTGCTTGTGCGGGAAGTTTGCCTATCAAGGCATCCTCCCCGATTTGCATCTCAGAGCAAGACTAGACGTCCCAGCCTAGCTGCCTGCGACGGCAGAAGTCGCAATGTTGCATGTTTAGATTTCAGAGGCTTCGAACTCATGGAGCTCCGGCAAGCTCGGTTTGAGTCGCGGGCTGCCACTTTCGGAGGTCTGCTGGCCGGCCTTCTTGCCATTTGCGGCGGCTTAGCAGGCGGCTCGGGGCCGCGACAGCTTGAGATAACGTGACGGCATGGTTCAAAGCTCGCCTCTTCATAGGCAGACCGCAGCACACCCCTCCCGCGCAGAAATTCCACTTACCGCATGCGTGTGTGCGTCGTCGCTGCATCCCGTGCTCGAGGCTGGCTTGGACTACTCGTCGCACGAGTCTGCCTACAGTCTCTGGCAGTCGCAGGACGCCCACTCAAGGGCTGCTGAGATGCTTCACAAACGCGGCTTCACGAGCCTTTGCACACCCCTAGTCAGTTGGGACAGGCGGTTGTCAGCAGCATTCCCCAACCTTCAAACGATTTCGCGGGCCTCCCGCACCTACTGCGGCGAAGGAGAGTTCTGGTACGTTTGGGACTACATGGTTCTCGAGGCTGGCGGTGTGCCGAGTGAGAGTGCTTACGTAGTTGCGGTCGTGGAGGCTGATGCGAGCAGTCTTTGCACTATCTGGAGACGCGATGCACTAGCCCAAGGGTCAAGCCATGTTGAAGGCCGTCCCTTGCCCATAGCACAAGCCCAAAGTCGGGAAAGTTCCGGGAGCTGAAGAACCAGGTGTTGAAGACCCGGCATAACACGCGAAGGGTACCGCTCCGGGTAGTCTCTTGCGAAGGCGGGGGCTCTGGTCCTCCTGCTTCCGACTTCTGCACCGCTGCCGGCCCTGGGTCTGACATCGACGCACCTGCGCTGCAACGAGGGGGTCCATACTTCAAGGCTAACAGTATTATTGCTACTATTCTTATTGTTACTAAGATTCTTATTACTGCTATTAGTCTTATTATAATCCCGCCGCCACCATTACTTGACCTCTGCTTCCCACACATGCAACAGTAGCAGCAATCGTCAGGATATGCCTGCATATTGCGGCAGAATTTGATTGTTGCTTGGTACATCCGACCCGCATTTGCAGGCGACCCATCTCATGTGCTGGTAGCCCATCCTGATTGAAAACAGATCCCAATTGATGCGCAGTCTTGGTGCAATATGCTCACTTGTTGGAGTCCGAATGGTAACCAAACGGTGCGCCTGTAGCAGTTGATCAATTGATGCTTGTTTCGATGAGGCCCCTGGCGTGTACAACAGCCTTGCTTTTTCGACCTGAGACAGATATTCCGGGGCTTGAACTTCTTGGAAGCATTCTTCATGGTCGTGGGATCGGAAGGTTCGAAACTGTAAGTTGATCTGCTTGTGATTATCTTCCGCAGATCGTCGACGTCTGGACTCGTTTCAAAACTGTTACGTACGAAGAATTCCTGGCATCCCACGCAATTGCATGTCGAGAGGGCCCAATATGGAAGTTGCTGCTACAGGAGGGTTCTTAAAGCGACAACGGCTCCTTTTACTGACTGATTAACTGACTGACTGAGTGACTGAATGACTGACTGACTTTGCAAGAAGAAGCAGCCGTCGTCGTCGCAGTGGCCATGGTCGGAGTCGTAGTCACAGTCGCGGCCGCAGACGCAGGGGGAGTCGCCGTCGTAGTCGAGGTGGTGGCGGTTGTGTTGGCGGTGGTGGTGGTGGTGGCAGAAACAGCGTTAGAATCAGAACACAAGCAGAAGAAGCAAAAAGGGAGTGTCAATCATTGGAATTACGCAATGTGCAGGATTAGCCAGTTGTATGACTTGTCATTGTAGCAGCAAGACACGGGTCTGCAATTGCCATTCTCTGAGACAAGGCCAGCTCCGTGTGTGGCACTGGCCTGGCAGCTTCGCAGCCGCAGTACTGGCTGAGAGTATGACATGCTTCGGAGGCCTCCCGGAGGAAAAGCCGGGCCTTCTGAACATCCGGTGCATGCAAGGTCCACAATCAGCTGCAAGGCGTGACGTAGTCGAGATGGGCTTACTACTCGTACCTCACTTTTTCACTTCGTAGAAGAACCAGCAGATCCTGCAGTCGCCCAGATTGGCCACACGAGTAGAAGCTGTCAGCTTGTCGTTGTGGGTCACCAGGTGATTCTGGAGATCCGTCACAAAGCGGAGGTGTAGAGTTGTGCTTGCAAGTTACACTCCGGTCGCCACAAGGTTTCTGGCTATTCGCCTCATGAAGCTTGGCACAGTTTGAGCATGCAGCATTGGCGTTGTGGTTTCGGTGTGTTGAGGAGGCCGTACAGTGGGTTGCCGTGATTGAGATTTCACGCTTCCTGCCCGCAGCTTCTCAGATTAATGGTGTTGCCAAGCTCAGAAGGCCACAGATGCAGAGCCTGAGTGCACCCTCTGAGAGAAAGAAAGTCCCATCCCTCGGGCCAATATCAGGCTCGGCTTCGCGAAGACGAAGTTTGGTGGGGTTGCTCGGCACAGGACGATCTCGGAGTCACTTCTTGCATGTGTGAGTGAAGCCCAAACTTCTCAGATCCCTGCGGTGTGGGGTCCATGCGCGGAGATCCGGGACGTTGTTAGTGTCGCTGTGAGTTCCGTGATGAGTCTGTGTCGACTCTCGCCCGGCAGCCGAATTGCTCGAGGCTCGCGTTTTCGAGGACAACCTGTACCTTCAGGGATTTTTCATCTGGCAGCTGCTGCCAAATCGGCTCAGCTGGCTTCCTGGCGTTGTTATGCCACACGGTTCTACGTAGATTGGGAAGTAGCCTGCCACATCTTCGGAAAGGAGGCAGTGCGTCAACAGCCACATCTGTTCAAACCATGTAGCATTCTAAATGAAGGGTCTGTTCGCAACACAGCATGACACATCCGTCAGACGAGCCACCCTCTGGATGCAACGGCAGAGAGGGAGAGAGAGTGCAAGCAAGAGCAGTAAAGTACAGTATAAATGCCTTCTAGAAAGCGAGTCGAGGCCAATTTCTTTTTGGCTTGTTGTTGTGCTTGTGCCTGTGGAGTTTCGAGCGCTAAGGGAACACTGCTCGAAAGAAACTTCGTTTGTGGCAGAATAAGCCAGATTGTTGATGTTTTCGTTGACAAGCCATATGCCATAAGAGAAGAGACAAAGCCCACAACCGATCGGCAGAGAATCGTAGTCAAACCGCGGCAGCAAGCGCCACGGCTCCTTTTAATCCCCAGCCTCACTGTCGCTGCTGCTCCTCGTCCTGCTCCGCCTGGCTTTTTTTCCGGGTCCTCCAACTTCTCCAGCTGCTGGTCCTGCTTCGCATCAGTGGCGTTCCGCCTTACCGGCTCATGCGGCCCCTGCTCCCCTTCTTAGCAACTTCGTCACTGCACCGCTGTGCAAGGTATCTGCATCACGCGCCCCTGTGGTTTCTCAGAGCCGGCTACGTCTTCATGCTCTATGTGTCACAGACTGCAGCTATGTTGGCTTTGACTGTGATCCGAAGGGAGCTCAGAGTATAGGGCTGTTGTTGTTTGCCTTTATACTCACAGCTCAAGCTGCCCGGCCGCCCAAACTCCGGAATCTAAGCATTTCCAAGAACACCTTCAGTGTGAAGCCTTGGTTTCAGAGAGAGTCGAGGCAGCTGCATGAACGTCAGGTCGAGGTGATTCTGCCGCTTTGCGCCTTCTTTGGAGGAGCGCCCCGCTACATCGCTGCCTGCGGACTGCAGCTTGGCAGCGGTGTGCGGCTTTTAGGGCCTTGGAGCCTTGGACCTTGGGTGTGTTTTGGATCTGCATGTCTCCGGGTGCAAGCATGTAGGATTTTGGCTAACCTCGCTTAAAGGGAAAGTTCAGGTGGAACGGCTGTCTCTAAACAGCCAGCAAATGCTTCAGAGCCTGGGGAATTCACACGCCAGCAGCAAGAGTTTCATGAAGGCCTAAGTTGCGATACTCAGGATCGCGCTGATGTTCGGCATCTACCTAACAGGAGCGAGATTGTGAAGAGTTTCTCGGAAACGTGCACCCAACGTCTGGGAAAAAACGAACATTTCTGGTGAATCTCCGTGCGTGGCACAGCACGCAATTGCTCACCGGGTCTGTATCACGTAGGATCCCTGCTGTCCGCTGTACGATTTGGTTGTAGGATTAGTAGTAGGTAACGTAGTGTTGTATTCCTAGTAATGCTGCTAGCTGCACCTACTGAGATCCGCCGAAGAGTCGCCGACGAGTTTTCGACATCCACCCAAAATCCTGACAGAATGGTGAGTGATCCAAGCATGGGGGCGAATTCTGAGGGTGCGAACGGCAAGTCTGATTCGGTAGAATTTGCTTCGCACTGTTTATTCCCCCGCTGTTCGCCAGAGCCGTGAGCACTCATGAGCAGTCACTTTTGTGCTCTGGCCTCCCGCTCTAACGGTGAGCTGCAATATGACCCCGAACCGACAACACCAGACCAAATGGGATGCAGCATGGTGCGAGAGACACGGCTATCGCAGAAGTGAGCAGTCCGAATCAGTGTGGCCTAGCAGGAAACTGGGGCGCCTTCAATTTCGGAGCTTGGCCTGGAAAGGGAGTGCAGGGAAAGCTGGTTGGGTTGCCGGGTGGAGCGATTTTCGGGACGTCAGAGATCCTGCAGATTGGTCGGCCGCTATTTGGGAACTGCTTGCTGCTGCTGCTGCTGCTGCTGCTGCGGCTGCTGCTGCGCATCTGCAAGGATATGCCATTGTGTGCGTCGGCTTGTTCGACCTGGATGTGGCGGCTGAGCTTGGGATTACTAATGCAGTTACTACAGAGTCGCAGAGTCATGTGTTCGCCTTCTGCCTGGCCTGACACATTGGTTCATTGGTGGGCCTCGCCAGAGGTCCACACCTCAATGACCTAAGTGTCAACAGTCGGCCCCGTGTGAAGCATTTGCACCTGTATTATTTCATTTCACTCGCTCACGACCGCACATGAAAGGCATATTCGAGCTTCTTCTCTGCCAGAGAGCTGGGCGACTGCTTCTGGTCGGATATCCTTCTACGCCCACTGATGACGGCTTCTTGGAAGCATGATGATGGAGAGTAGGTCCAGCGCCTCTCATGGAATTCGTTCAGTGCACACACTTCTGGTGCATGTGTGTGTTTGTGTTCTACTTAGTCGCACGACAACTGCTGAAAGAGGGCTTGAAGCCCCGTACGAAAGTGTTTGACGTTGAGGTTGATGTCGTGGTAGCTCTGTCATGCTCGCCTTTCACCAGCGAATTACGATGCAAGATGGGGCGCTCATGGGCCATTCTCCTAATGATCGAATTGTACCGATTTGCACTGAAGCAGCTCCGTGCCACTCGCGATTGTGGAAGGGCTTTCTCTTTGAGAAGCATTACTGAAGTAGAAGTCGTGGACGATCTCACGACTGTCACTTGCTGGCAGCAACCTCCCTTTTGCCGTGATTATCCAGCTGTTTGGCATGCTGGCGCCTTTGTCGAGGCATCCTCGGAGTAGGGCTGTGTTGTCTTACTAGACCACGTTCTCTCACAGGGGTTGCCCTGTGGCCGAGAAGCCAGTCCCAGGAGGTGAACCCTCGCAATGAGACAAGGGCGCTATATCTCCCCCTTCTGCCCCGTCAGGCCGCACCAATATCAAGTTAGCAGTGTTGGCAAACTTGCGAAACTATCGCTGAGCGCATGTGTGTGTGTGTGTGTGCGTGCGTGCGTGCGTGCGTGCGTGCGTGCGTGCGTGCGTGCGTGCGTGCGTGCGTCCGCGCATACGTATGTATGTGTATGTGTATGTGTATGTGTATGTGTATGTGTATGTGTATGTGTATGTGTCTGTGTCTGTGTCTGTGTCTGTGTCTGTGTCTGTGTCTGTGTCTGTGTATGTGTATGTGTATGTGTATGTGTATGTGTATGTGTATGTGTATGTGTATGTATGTATATATATACACACACACACATATATATATATGTATATTGTGTATATGCATACATATGCTCTAACACATGTGTTGGCTTCTTCAGGCTGGAGGTGGCGTAGACAGTAGGCACCCTTGGAAGAAACGAAGAAACGACTCTGCCTGGTGTTGCTGTGGTTTAGGCTGGGGATTCAGGGCTGAGGGGCACTAAGTGAGGTTTACATGTTTCTGAGCCTGATCTACTGCGTCTTCGATACCTGGACGAACACATCCTGGCCCTACTACTACTGGGCCGCTCAGCAGCGATTGGGTCAGTTGCTTGAGACGTCCCCTTGTGTCAATTCTGGCACAAACGGCAAAGAGTGTTTGCTTGGGACTGTAAAGTTCGTGAGCAGAGCCGCCGAAGTGTTCTCTTAACCAGTCTATGTAGGGTTTGTGACTTAGTGGAAGTCTGGCTCCAAGCCATAGAAAGTAAGACTATGAAACACCCCACAGCTCACAGCGCATGCCACCTCAGCAGGAGCTTCGGGTGACGATGTTGTTGTCTGGTCTGGCATTCGCAGTCGATCTTGTGCTGTTCGAAGCGACGCCATGTGGGTCTGAGTTTAATTCCTCTATACTCCTCTTCTGCTGGAGAGAGTTTGGGCGCAGGAGATCATCCCAGAATTCCAGCTCCATGGGCTGAAGCCTGGCCACAAGAAGTGAGTACCCGGAATTTTGACGCTCCGAATTGGATGAAGCCCGGAAGCCTCTAGCCGTAGCCATAGTTCCCAAACCTTCCGTGTGGGTTTTCATGCCACGAGCTCAGGATCGGCCTCATCAGACTCTTAGGACCCGGAGAGTCGCGGCGAGCCTGTGACAGTGCCTGGCGAAAGTTTCTGAAACCGCGGTGAAGAGAGGACCCTTTCGCCTCATTAGCTCCTACGGCGTCTTTCCTCCCGAAGCTCTGCCTCAGGCCGGCAGAAGGACCGAAGGATTGCTGCAGGTAGCGTTGCGCCGTCAACTTTCGGTCGTTTATATGCCACATCCACTCCTTGATGTCACGAACTGCCAGTGCAGTTCCGGCCTCCAGGTCTGTCTTTTTTTGTCTTCCGACCTTGAGGTCCGCACCACCTTGGTGTACGAGGGCAGCCAGGATGGCACCTGGTCAGATGAAGATTTTTGTGAGGGTCGCGGCCTACTTTTCATTCATTGACGGGCCGTGTTTGCCGGATGTTGCATTGACCAGCCAGACGTAAAGCGCACGGCCTCTGCAGCCATTTGACCATCTCAGCTTCGTCCTAGCTGGGCCTTTGAGCCGTTCGCGGCCGCCGGACTTGACAGGGGTGGGGCTTCTGCATGTTTCTTTCAGAGTTTTGGCTTGATTTTGTCGAGCTCACTGGGACAGGGCCGGGTGAGCCAGCAAGAAAAGTATGTACAAGCTAGAGGTTGAGTCAACTTTCCTTGCCACGCCCGATTAGCCTCACCCCGAGCCGGCTACGAACTGCAAACCGCCCGGCGGCAGCTCAGGGGAAAGCGAAGATGGCAGACGCGGAGAAACTGCCCCCCCTGGATGATGACGCCGACTCTTGGGCCCAATGTCAACGCCCGCTTGTGGAAGCCTACCGGGATGCCAGGGTCACATCAAGTTTGAGCTAAAGACCTGCACCGAATACAGCGCTTGAGCCCTCAGCCCTCAGCCCTCGAGCGCCAGAATGCCCAGAAGCCGGAGCGAGGCCAGCGGGCCCGAGTGCCTGGAAGCCCCGAAGGCGCGGGAGGGGGGGTGGGCATGCGCCTTCATATTCATGGGCCATCACTGGGTCCTTGAACGGCTTGATGTGTTCTCTTGTTAGCGTGTGTGGATCCGCTGACCACAGCAAGCCTTCCAAGCTCTCAGGGCGCGGTGAAGATCTCGCCAGGGCGGTTTTGGCAAGCTCGTGCGGAGGAGCATGTGTCTTTCCCGCACACGAGCATGTGTTTCGTATGTTGGTAGGTTGAGTTTCGGAGATGGTGCCCGAAGCTTTCGCCAGCCAGATCCCTTGGAGTCATGTACGCACAATGATTGCCGAACACAGGGCGATGCCCGATCATCGCTAAGAACTCTTGAGTAGTTGGTTATTTCACCGCTTCCGCTTCAATGAACTGGACGAGGTTTACGTCAAAGACGCGCATGCCGACTCCACCGACAAAATGCTGCAGAAGCAAGCTGCTTCGCTGAGTATTGGCAGTGATTCGCGGGCGATACCCTTGCTTTGATTAGGCACCAGATGAACCAAGATGTAGCGATCTGTTTATCTGTCTGAAATGGCTCTGTCAATGATCGGCGGTTCCAAGTATCATGACGAGTACGATTAGAGCTTACAATGCGATTACGAACCAACATGTCGTTGTTTGAGAAGTATACTTTCCCTTGGAAAATGGTCTTCCATGAGAGAAGTCCCGAATTGTGTTTTAGCATCGTCACGAAGCGCACCTTCAGATCTCAATCCTGCCGTCAAGGCAGTGCTTGGGATCGTAACGCTATTTCCATGTCGTGCTTGAAGTGACCCATGAAACTGTAAGCTGATTTTGATGACTAGTGTTTGGTTGCATGATACGAGCACTACAAGGTGTTTTCACTACGTTCTCTCGTTCGCACATCAGGCAGAAATCCTGAAGCGACTGGACCACCAGACGGAGCTGTTGAGCCTGCTCGTGTCGACGCTTCGACTGCATCTCCCAGAGAGAGATCTTAAGAGTCTACTGGAAAGACCGCTGCTGCAACAAGGAAGCCTCCCTTGGGGATGCGGAGGCCGAGGGTCACAGAGAAGACGCAGAACAGAGAATAGTTCAGAAGCTTTACACTTTAGATGTGTAGCTTTCGCTGCGCCTGTGTGCTTCAGACTTCAGCCTTGCTGGCCAGAATCAGCCTGGAGCGGCCTGAAGTTGCCGCCTGCCACAGCAGTGGCTGCAACAGCGGCTGCCACAGCAACAGCTCTCAACAGGTTCGGGCAAAGGCCTTGAACTGAAGCTTCTTGTCTTCGGGTCGGAGGTCAGTTCGGTTCAGGCGTGTGTGTCGGGAGTGGGCAGCTGTGGAGGGTCTGAATGCTTTGACTTTGCTTAGAACGGGCTTTCGCGCCGACGGCTTGCTGATGCAATGAAAGTAGACAGCAGCTGCTCGAAACATCATTGATCGTGTCCAAAACGGAGGATGCATCTCTCCGCCCTGCCGGAGGTGAATCACGACGAGCCAGCTCGTCCCAAAAGAACTTCGTTTACGTGGTGCGCTCAGTACTTCTGCTGCGTCAGACCTTGAACTCTGGACACCCTTGTGCCCAGGCCTCATCTCTTCAAGACCTTCTCGCAGACCGAGCTAAGTCGTCGCCGGGAGGTGGGGCAGCAGGGCAATCGGCTGTGCAGTGTTGTGGGTCCCAGATTCATGTTAACATGTTGGGTCTTCGCTAGTATTCCTGACTCGCAGGCCAAGGCTGTCTCAGTGGAGCGGTCGGTGACGGCCGCGATGTCTTCGGAGGCAGAGACACATGCTTCTGAAGAGCTCACTTGACTGAGACGGTTCAGGCGCCGCCATACTGTGCAGAGCGACTGGTGAAACATCCTGTCTTTGACCTCTTCTTCACTGTGGTGGTCATCACGAACTCGACCCTTGCCTGCATGTCACTGAGGCGCGCACCCGCTCGGCCATTGGCATGACTTCGGCCTGTTCGGTGAACTTGCCTCGAGGGCTACTGAAGCTGTTGATTGCTCGCGTGATTGTGCGGTTGGCAAGCGTGACAGCAAAGCACCCGCTTCATGTCGCCAGAGGTGACAGTTACCAAGACCCAACTCTCAAACCATCACCCGGCGGCAAAGGATCTTCATTGGTGTGGAGCTGCAACTCAGCATGTCAACTGGGTGCAGGTCAATCCCTGTACAGGCCGTCAAGTTTGCCCGGTTTCTTATCATTGCAGGTTGAGTCTCAAGGCACCCTCGTGCCGAAGCTTTGAGTGGAATGCAGTCAATCACTCGAACCTGCCCGCAAGCTTTGCGGCGCCGATGCAGGCTGTACAATACGTCTACACTCTTCTCTTCACTCTCGAGCTTGTGCGACGGACTCAGCATCTGCTGCCCCTGTGATGCCCAGTTCTGCCTTCCTATGCCGAAAGACCCCAAAAGCAATGCCGTCGAGGCTCAGGGTTCTGGGGCAGGGCCCCAGCCTATTCTGGCGTGACGAGTGGACGTGGGCCTGCAACTTGACATCGCGGGGGGACTTGTGATTTTCAGCTTTCGGCAGGCTTGCGGTATCAGAGCAGAAGCGGTGATTCGTGAAGCGTCTGCAGATAGCGATTTGGGCTACAGGCGTCGGTTCGCCTAAGGAGGGTTGTCGGTTGCGAAGGTGATAGTGGTTGTGGACGGTGTTGTTTCCGATGAATGGTGATGATAGACTGCTGCTGCTGCTGGTGCTGCTGCTGGTGCTGCTGCTGGTGCTGCTGCTGGTGCTGCTGCTGCTGCTGCTGATGTTAATGATAATGAGTATGACAGTGCCACGGGGAACGGCTATGATAATGACAATGATAGTAGCAGGCGTGATGACGGTGAAAATGACACTGGTAAAGGCGATGGTCATTGCATTTGTCTTGGTAACGGTATTGGTGGTGGTGGTGGTGGTGGTGGTCATGTTCCTGAGTCATCCAATGCAGATGCCGGCGGCTGCGGCTAAGGCCATGGCGGCTAAGGTCATGTCGATAGTGAGGGTGAGGCTCAGGGCGACGGTTTCGACCGTTGACGATAAAGATGACGATGAAGCTGACGAAGAGGACGACGAGGATTTGTGGTGGTGGAAGTGAGTGGCGAGGGTGATTCTGTTTGGAGTTTCCCACTCAGCGGCTGCACCCATCTGAGGGCTTGATCTATTCATCGTGGCGACGTCCTTGTGGGAGGTGGCCGTGGATGTCTACTACTACAGCCAGGGCAATACGGAGCGGCAGCCGAGCGCTGGGGTGTCAGGGGCAGGGCTTTGCTTCTGTTTCTTTGGGATCTGGTGCCGGCCGGCAGACATGTCTGGTACTTCGCTACTGCCTGTCGCAATGAAGAGCTTGGCCACAAGTCGATTGCATCTACCGCAGGACCTCACCGCCCTATCAGGCATGTCGAGCCTCAAAGCCTTCCGGATCATCCGAATCACCAGGCCGCATGTTGATGGTCATGTGAGGGATGTCGAGTGCACCGAGATCCACCAAGGCTCATCAAGGCTGTCAGACTCGTGCGGATCCTGCGCTTCGTCATGGCTTTCCGAACACTCATTGCGCTCCGGCGAGCACTTCGAGACTTCGGGCTTGTTGCGATTGGCCGTAGCTACAGAACCTAGCTGTCCCGGGATCCGGCTGCTTCGGTGTCGGAGCCTCACGGAATCGACCAGTGTATCTTTTGATCCAGGGTTCGCTTTGCCCTGACAGAGCTTTCTGAATGAAGCTGCAGACCTCCATCCTGCACACGCTGAAGTCGCTGTTCTGGGCCCTCATGCTGTTGGCCTTGATCATCTACGTTCGGACCCCAGCTTTCGTTGAGGTCGGCTTCGTAAGTCGTAAGCATCGACTGCAGACTGCGAGTGCTTCAATTTTGGCCACGTGGCTGTGCGCAACAGTCCACCGGCCATAGCAGTGGCGCATGAAACCGCGTTCGTTGGATTGCGGGGCGAGCGCGAGGCCCTTGCCTGTCCGAACCATTTTGTCACGGCAGTAGGCCGATGTATGTTACCCGAATTGCTGTCACATTGCTGCGGCCATGTTTTGGGCCTCACCAAAGTTTGGAGACACCGATTCGGTGGGGTGGGCGTACCTCCGCAGCTTGCACAGTCTCGCATCTTTGAGAGATGTTGTGCAGCCTTCAACCTGTGGCGCTTTTTTGTTGTACTGTGCAAAGGTTTTTGCAGTCCTCTTCACGCAAGCGGTGTCACGTGGCCAGCAGAGAAGCTGTCTTGTGTCACGAACCAACATGAGAAGACACACAGTTTCATACATAGATGCATACATACATACATACATACATACATATATATACATACATGCACAGGCCGCTGCTTCTTGGAATGTACTGTAGGTAGTGGTGCAGAAAGGAGAAAGAAAACAGATACAAGATCTGCGGAGGGCCAACAACACAGTCAAAAGACAGACCCAAAGATTGAAATGCAAGAGATTGCGGTGCAATTCATCATCACGAAATTCGGCACCACTCGGGGTTTTAGACTTTCGGTTGGTTGGCGGCTTTGGCTGGCTTCCTCCTGCCTTCTCATGCAAACCAACGCCCTGGATCTCACGGCTTGGCCAGTTCATGCCGCTGAGTGCGTCACCGGCCCCCGCTCAGGCCTCCCAGTAGATTTTGACTTAGACTTTGTTCGTGGCGGCCATGGCAGTCGAGTGGGCTGACCTGGCATTGGCTCGCCATGGCCCGAGCGCGAGCTTGAACATTCAGCGTGGTCTGAGGTTCAGTTTGCTGTGGAGTTTTCGTTCCGTTTCGTAGGTGGTATCGTAGTGTATCCTCCTTTATGGCTTTGGGGCATGATGTTCCTTTGTTCCCTTTTCGACTGGGTCTGTAAGTGCATGCACCGAGTAGACCTGTTTCTACATCGTGTTTATTTTGGAGAGCATACACGAAAGCGCGATTCAAGAACAGGGTGATGCAGAACTGGATCGCAGATATTTTTCCTTCTTGCGTTTATGGTGGGATCCTGAAGAAGGGGGGTTCAGGACGCGGCTGGAATTGCTCAGATGCGCGCATGGGGGCAAGTACATAGGCTCCCTTGACTTAGCACACGCTTTTGACATGGCGGACCCTCGTCTCGCCGTAAAAATCATGCAGCACTTGAAGCTGGACCAGGACAGGGGCCTTACGAATCTGCTGGAGGGTGAAGACTCTTTGGCAGGAGTGGGTCCAGGTCTTGGGTCTCAAAAAGAATGAGGACAGGGTTCAATACTATCACCCTGAGACGACGGGCAAACGCAAACTTGTGTCTGTTGGCCTGGGCCCGGCAGGGATCAAGGGAAATATTCGGGTTCTGGGATATGTCTTTCCAGGAGCCCTGGCCTGCAGAGTTGATGCTCCTGAAACTCGCACGCTGGCTGAGGCTCGCAAGAGAGCTTCAAGGTGTGCGTGTTTACCTTGCACGCTCAAGAGGAAAGTTCGGATTGCCCAGCTGTTTTTGCTGCCCAAAGCTGCTGGGAGATGGATCTGTAGACGGCCTGCGCAGCGTGATTTGCAATCGATTGAGTCCGTTTTCGGACGTCTTCATTCGTATGGCGCAGAAGCAGTCGAGCCCCTTCCTTTACAAAATCGTTACAGGCCACCAGTGGGACCTGCGATTCTGTGCCGTGAATGAGGTTTGTGGCATCATGCACCGCTTGATTGCTAGAATGAACAGCAGCTACAGCATGTTTTGAGGAATTTTGGCGAAGGTTTTTGTCAAACGGATGGCTGTCCCAGGACCGTATCGATGCCAGACTTTGCTTTCACATGCCTTGCTGTGAAATCCGGTTGAAGGACCTCAGGTTTCTTCACCTCAGTTCGCATGAAGTAGCTGTCATCACGGGCGGAGACCGCACCGGCCAAGTATGCAGTAACGGTTCCTACGGCGCCGTCGTCGTCTCACTGTTGCCCCTTCTGTGGCGGTGAGAAAGCAGATTGGGAACACGTGGCCTGGGGCCGCGCGCAAGCCCGGAGAGCAGAAGGAGTGCGCAGGGACACATGTGACATACAACAAGCGAGATTGCTGGCCTTCGCCTTATAGGCTTCATAGTCGTCGTGTACTAACGTGGTTTGCATATGTCAGGAGGCTATGTCTGGAGGTAACGCGTGCCCCGCTGAGGAATTGAGGCTTCGTGCCTGTGTTTTGGAGTCTTGTTGCCACTTGCTGCGTGGACTTTTTTCCATACACAACTAAGATCTCGGCTTCTCCGCACAGCTCAGGTCCTTCAGACTGCCTCATCTAAAGACATGCTTCTTCTGACTTCGTGGCGCGCGGCGTTGTAGTCGTCCTCACGGGTGGCTACCTTGTGGAGCCGTCACGGCGTTTACGCATAGCTAGACTGCCTCATGTAAGGACATGCTGCTTGCGGCGTCGTGGGGCGCGGCGTTGTCGTCGTCCTCACGGGTGGGTGCGTTGTGTCGTCTTCGCGGCGGGTGTGGTCACGTTCTACAAGTCTTCGCCAAGTTCTCAGTTTTTGCCGCCTTATCATACGGTTCACTAAACCACCAAAGAACCGTTTCTGAACATAAAACCTTGGGCTAACGTCTACAGCAACACAGTACGGTTAGGGTCCAGAGTCCAGAAAGAATAAAAATGAATCGGGTGTTGAGTGATGGTTTATCGCCAGTCCTAGGGAAATACAGGGATCACGAGCTACATGGGTCGGATGGGCTTGAATGATTGGCGTATTGCACTAATGGTTTTGGTTAGAGTCTTGGGATCTCATCCGCCATACGGGCAAAACAGACAGACCACTGGATGAATGGTTCCGTGGTTCAAAACGGAGTCGCATAGGTGATAACTTGAAACATTGATGGTTTCGGTTGCGTAGCTCGAGCGGACACAGGCTCTGCCACGATACATGTGCATGTATCTGCATACCCACGATGAAAAAGACACACATACGCACTACATACATACATACATACATACATACATGGATGCATGCATGCATGCATGCATGCAGACATACATGACATACATGACATACATGCATGCATGCATATATATATATATATATATATATATATATATTTATACATGATATACTTCATTATCATTTTATATTGAACTATGTTGTCGGTTCTTACATAATATTCAAAATATGGTTTCCTCCCCTATCCTACTACTGCTATAGATCATGTTATATACCATATTACAGATTATACCATGGACCCGAGGAAACACGGTAATACATACTATGCCGCATACTATACTCCATACTGTACGTTATGCAATGCTATATACTTTATTCTGTGCTGTACTGTATGCTAGGTTATATACTACAATAAATCATTACAGTGCTATACTCTACAAGTGTCATGTGAAACCCGGTTGCAAAGTCCATAGTAGCTATCATAGTACATGCACAAACGAACTTATGTTCTATCATGCTGTGTTGCATATGTTGTTTTGCGGATATACTTTTGCAAACACAGGTCTTATGCTACATGAGATATGTTAGGTTAGACAGATGCCGTACTGGATCATACAAAAATATGAATACACTACATACGTGAAATACAGCTTGGTTACGTGCTGTATGACCTTGCCCTATATCGCATCATATCATCTCACAAAAAAGTGTATTGTGTTTGACATGTTTGTATGATTCATTCTGACAATATTGTCCACTAGTAGGGTAGGACATACCATATCGACGATATTTGATTGGATTGTGTCATGCAGAGTACGCATCTGGTTGTCAGCCCTCTCATTTCTGCACATTTCACCACATCAAAATGTTTACTGTACCCATGCCATATCAAATCATGTTGTATTGGAGCATATTATGTCTTGTCATGGAATACCCAGCCTATGCTATATGGCACTATACTACATAAGATACGATACCAGTTTAGTTTTAAACATGATTATTTACATCATGTTGTTTTGGAGAACTGTAAAGTAAAGCGACATGCTGTATTGTGTTATTTTAAGACACTGTATTCTATCATCATGTTAGTCTACATTCCGTCTTGTGTCCTTGGGTTTTCACAAACTCTGTACTGTATACGTACCGTATCTGCTTTAATTTTACTGCATATGGCAGCATAAGGGTTTTCTACCATACGTCGAGTTATTATGTTACCCGATCTTGCTTCGTATCATATCTATATCGTACCATCCTTTCATCTTTCTACTAAAACGTTTCGTTTTACATATTTTTAAGTTGCAATGTGTAGATTTCAGCCTAAATTGCGATTACCTGATAGCAAATTGCAATTCCCCAATGCCTTGCCACAAACCGCAGCCCTAGAAATGGCGATTCTCCAAGAGCTTGATGAAAAAACCTCTTCACAGCCGTAGAAATGGCGATCTTCTGTTTCCTTACGTCCTCGACGCAGTGGGGAAAATGCGACAACGTAGGGGGGGGAACCACGCGCATTGGGCGCAATACCGAAGATGCTGAAATCTAGGAGGGGAATGACCACGCGTCCATATATATACATATATGTATGTATGTATGTATGTACATATACACATTATATATATATATATGTATATACATATACACATAACACACACACACATATATGTATATATACATACATACATATGTATGTACTTACACACACATACAACATCGCTTTTGGTTGAGTTTTCATGTTGAAGGGACGGGAGCGCCGAGTCCTTCGAGCATAAGGAACGACGTGCTCAAGGATCCCGAGTCGGGCCTTTCGCAAGCAGTTCCCTGGCCCGGGTGTGATTAGGAAGTCGTGAGTGCCTTTCCTTGGGTTCTTTGGGGTTACTCTGTATTCTGATCCACGAGGATTTGAGAATGTACGGACGAAAGACCACCGACATTAGCATCGCTCGCATGAGCCCGAAAACACTCAGGATGTAGCAGCCGAACTGCATAAGTTTCCCCCGATGCAAACAGGATATTGATGCCAGTGTGCTCTACTTTGGTACGCTTCCGGCCGCTCAGCTGAAAAAGGGTGCAGGATTTTGGAATCTGGGTCGCATTCCTTGAGAATTGGCAGTTCGACGGAACACAAAACATGCCAGGAACTGAGCATGCTTTCGAGGGATGCGGTCCAGGTTACGGCCTTGGTGGGGGAGCCAAACGAGCTTTGAACGATTTCTAGGCAGTTTCAGCTGTATTGCTGCTCAAGTTGGGGACGCCCTGGCTCTTCACACAGGTGTTCTTGTAGAGGTATGTTCTGGAGGTCAAAATTTGGCACAGCCCGCTTTAGATCCGGCCTCTCTGCATGAGAAGAAAGACATGACAAGGATCGGGTTTTTACGTTTTGCTCGGTTGCATGTGGCACCGGAGGAGACGATGCTGAGCCTCTTCATGAGCATCTGCGGTGGTGTGAGTTGGGAGAACGTCCTTGCACCACTGAAGAGTATGTCCGTGATTTGGGTCCTGCTCTACCTGTTCTACATAGCCTTCACTTATTTCGCGGTGATGCTACTCGCCAGCAGGTGCCAGTTGGGTTCCAATCCGGCAGTCTTTGATGACGGAATCGCTTGCTTGAACACTGTGCTCAGGGCGGAGGTCGAGTCCCCCTGTCGAAAAGTGATATCAGAACTACGGTCACTACGATTCCATGCATTCGGTGCTGCGTGGCATGTGGTTGAACTATGCTGAACTCTGGCCTAGGAACGTGGTAACTGCGGCTCCTTGGATAGCAGCAGTTTTTAGACTCCGTCGAAACTCAGGCGCAAGTCTCGCCTAGTCGCTTTTCGAGTGCGGATGCGGCTTCTTCGAAAAAAGCTCGTTTCTCTGCCTTCTTTCCTCACTTATTTGCCAGACCAATACACTACGTCCTGCAAGACAGGTTGCTAATGCATCTTGCGTTCGTCGTAACAGCGTGCACTGCTCACAAGGTCGCTTTCTTGTCAGGCCACAACAGTGGATTCACAGTTTGATGGAGTACCTATGAGTACCTTGATAGTACCTTGATCTACTTTTATTTCTGCGGTCACTCAGAGGTCTTTTGCCAGAGCGCCATTGACGGGGCCCAGAACGACCACGCATCGAAGGTGCATGCGATCCTGTCGAACAAGGAGGTTCCTCGGGAACCGCAGATGCTCAAGCCGGTGTGCCAACGTCTGAATCCTTCTCAAACTTCCGAAGCTTCCTTTGTGCCAGAGTGAGCGTGCGCCACTCTCGCTTGGAAGGAGCATCTGGGAAAGATCAGGGCTCTGTTCTCTCAGTTCGGAGCAGAAGCAGCTCGGATTTGAAGATCGAGTCCAAGAGTCCAGAGAGAGTCTCGAAACAGTCGAGAGAGTCTGGTGAGGCTTCGGGCAGGCTTCGAGAGTTCTGTGCACTACCCTTAACAGCCGAAGGACGGCGTCATCACCTTCGACCTCTTCCGGGAAAAGATCAAGAGCCCAGAGGTTGGGGCTGCGCTTTTCGCTGTTTCGAGACAGGGTGTAGGGGCATGTCCCGGCCAGCAGCCAGAGTGGCACAGGGTACTTCGAAAATCTTCGATGCTCGTTCCGATGAGGTGCGTCATTATTTCCAAACGCTGGGTTTAGACGTGTGGGCAACCCGGATGCATCAAGACCTTCATGTTTTACCAGGCATGTGCAAATAGTGCAATGTTGAAAATTTCAAGCAAAAGGCCGACGAAATGTTTTCATGGTCCGCAAGGATGCGTGGTCCTTCTTCAAGCTGCTGGATGAGGATGCCGGAGGGGCCGTGGAGATCGAAGAGTGCCCAGCTTAATACCAGAGGCTCTTTGAAGGCTCACTTCGCACGGCATTGCAGATGTAGATTGTAGAGAAACCCAGGGAACGTCTCGACAGCCTCAAACAGGGCATTTAACTTGAGTAGACCAACTCAGAGCAGTATGTTAATTCGCTAGCATCAGAGACCTGGGTGCAGAAACAAGCAAACCTCGACCGGAAGCCAAGGTTTCTGATGGGCTGCTTGCGGTTGCGCGGGCAGGCCACGGCTATGGATGTTGGAAAGCGCCGGCTCTGCAAGAGGCAAGTGGTGTGGTGCCGTGAAGATGGAAGCCAAGCAGAGCCAAGGATCATCAATGACCAGCAGTGGCTGATTCGAAACCAGGGCAGCTTGCCTGCACGCCGTAACAGCGTAGCCTACTGCGAGTAGAACGTCGAGCAGCCTTGTGAGGGGCTCGGGGGGGGTCTTTTGCAGCCTCGCGAAACACCAAGATGCAAAGACTTAATTAAGCAGTCTAGGGCGTCTCGAGCCAAGTTCTTGAGAAGCTCAGTCTGTGACAGCCTGTGACTGAAGGCAAGTTCCACGCCTACATGGAGGTCGAGCCACTTGGCTCCACAAGGCTATAGCCATATGTATAAGCAGTTTGATATAGATGCAGACGCACACGCATTCACACATACGCAGGCACACGCACACACCGGTATTTGTTTATTCATTTAATTAGTTGATACGCATATGTGTATATGTATATGTATATATGTATATATGTATATATATATATATACATATGTATACATGTATGCACATTTGTATGTATACACATGTGTATATGTATATGTGTATGTACATGGTCATTGTATATGTATATGTACATGTATCTTTATCTGCCTCTGTAAATGTATCTATATATGTGTATGCATGTATATATATATATATATATATCTATACACATGTGTACGTGTATATGTATCGTTATCTTTATATGTATACGTATGTGTATTTGTATATGTGTATGTATATGTGTATGTATGTGTGTATGTATGTGTATGTGTGGATGTATGTGTATATGTGGATGTATATGTATGTGTATATGTATATGTGTATGTATATGTATCTGTCGAGGTATGTGTATATGTATTCTGTATATGTATATGTATAGGTATATGTGTATGCATATGTGTATGTGTTTGTGTTTGTGTATGGGTATGCGTATGTGTATGCATGTATACACACATGTATATGTATATGTATATGTATATGTATATGTATATGTATATGTATATGTATATGTATATGTATATGTATATGTATATGTATGTATATGTATATGTGTACACACACACACACACACATATATATATATATATATATATACATACACGTAGTTCAAAAAAACGTACGTACGTGCGTAAGTGCACGCATACACGCGGATGCATGAGCACATACGCCTTTACAGACACATACAGGCATACACCCACAGACACGTACATATGTATGCGTGCATACATACATGCATGCATGCATACATAGATACACACATACATGCATACATACACGTACACATATACAGTCACATACGCATACACACATACATACTCACATACATACATGCATACATACATACATGTTCATACATGCATACATACATGAATGCATACATACATACACACACCCATGCATGCAAGCATACATGCATGCATACATAATCCACGCATGCATACACATATGCATTCATACATGCATGCATGCATGCATGCATGCATGCATGCAGACGTGCACAGACACACACACACACATACACGGCAGGTACAAGTAGGTGATTGGATGGACCGATGGACGAATAGAATAGATCGTTAGATCGACAGGTCAGCGTATTGATAGATAGTTAGATACTCGTAGGTTAGTAGTGTATATGTATATGTACATATATATATGATACGTTTATGTTTATGTTTATGCACATGTACATGTGCATGTGCATGTACATGCATGCATTCATGCATGGATGGATGGATGGACCGGGCGAACACAAACCTTTTTCTCATACTCCTCCAAAGCCCCAGCAACACATGGGGGAGAGATTGGGACTTGGGCAGCCAGCAAGCGACTCGTCCAGTTCGGCAGTGCCCAGGCTTCGGCAGCTGAAAGAGCAAGTGTCGATCCTAACTGGCACCTGGGACCGGTTCATGCTACCTCGAGTTCCATTGCGCTACAGTTCTGCAGTGAAGGCTCTAGATCGCACGCCTACAAGTTTCTAGTCAGTGTTCCGCAAGTGGCGAGGGTCGCCCTAGCCATGCACTAAACTTGAACCAGTGCGGAGTCCTAGCTCCACCCCTGCCCCCAGCCCAGCGGCAGAGGTGTCAATCTTTCGTCTGATGAGCACATAGGGCTCATCTTCGGGCAGAAGGAAGACATGAGCCTTGTCGATACAAGACAGTGGCCATTTCCAGAGGTTCGCGGTGCAGACCAGCAGAGCGCCACTTCTTTTTTTGGCATTGTTCCCTTTGCTCTCAAGTCCTTTGGTGTTGCCTGTGATTCGCAAATGCCTCAGTGGCAGCACCTGGCAGATTCGTGGGCCTCAGAACCCTAATGTCCTAGAAATCCTCAAAAAGACCAGGGTCTATCATAGTATATCATAGTATATTATAGTATATGATAGTATATGATAGTATATCATAGTATATGATAGTATATGATAGTATATGATAGTATATGATAGTATATGATAGTATATGATAGTATATTATAGTATATTATAGTATATTATAGTATATTCTATATAGTATATTATATAGTATATTAAGGAGTTGCTGCCCTGGCGTCTCAGGAGCCCGGGCCATGGGAGCCAAGACAGCAGAAGCCACGGGAGCTTCGGAATTGAGCCGCGGCCCGCGGGCGATTCTCCGTTTTGAAATGCCGGGAGAGGGGATTAGTTTAGGGTTTAGGGTTCAGGGTTTAGGGGATTAGAAGCTGGAGCAGCTGGAGCTAACAAATGAAAGCTTTGAGTCCCACCGTCCCACCTCTTTGCTCGAGCTTTTGATCTCCTCACCTCGTCTGTATCAAGATGCTAGCGAACTTGCTAGCGAAGTTCCAGCTCCGGTCGCATTGGTGCTGGCCGCTGTCATGAGCGGGGAAAGCCGCAGATATAAGGTGTCTTCCGTGCGCGAGTTTCGTTGAAGTGACGGCTCTCGCTGCCATCGCCTGCAGGGAAATGCGAGTTGCAGGGGTTGTTGAGTCGAGGAGCTGCTAGAAGCTGCAAAGATCATGGCACGGCAAAGGGCAAGATTGCCATCGCCTAGGTCCCCGCGAACCTGCGCCTAATCAGCGAGCTTTCACGTCGCACACGCGCGCTGTTTCTCGTGTTATTGTTTTCACTTCTTGTATGTAGGAGAACTGATGAGTCAAAACAAGCTATCCTGCAGAAAGGCATCTTCTGCCTTTGAAACAATGCGCTTTGATATGGCTAGAGCACTTTCGAGGGTGGTCGGGGAGATCGGAGGGAGGCAGAGGTTTTCCGGTTGTTCGAAGATGCCAGTGTAGGTGTGTAGCCAAAAGCAAATCCTCGTTTTTGCAGCTTTGAGGCGAGGCCTAACTTCACAGATTAATCTTTTGCAGCTTTCGGGCAGTCCTCGCAGTTCCGAAATGTGAACTCTTTTTCAAAATATCTGAAGGACTCAGGTTGGGCTTTGGGCCGAGGGGTGAACAAACCACCTCGCTTGCCTTGGGTCTGCCGCCTAAGTTCGGGACTGGCCTTGGAGGCCGTATGATGCCAAATGCTTCATGCTACAGAGAAGCCCACTGGTCCCGAACAGTTGGGTTAAAACTCTCTGAGTCCTGAGTCCTACCACCGGATTGCCACCATCATGTGGTTGACCAAGTGGAAACTGATCGTGCAGCCTTGGCAAACTTGGCAATCCGGCCTCCGTGAACGTAAATTTGCTGTCCCACCAACGATTGATGCAGCGGAGGTTAAACGGTTTGGGGTTTAGGACCTTATCTGTTTGGGGTTGCTTCGTTGTTGGGTTCATGTCAGTGTACTCACAGGTCTGCAACACCATGAAAGCTTCCCCACAGAACCGCAGCTGCTTATCGGGTGGTACGGCTTTGGGGCGGTTGCCGGCAAGTCGGACCGATCGCTTCAAGTTTCGTCTCTGCCAAGCTGACGTTCCGAGCAGAAAAACCCTGCGAGGCCGGGTTTGGGAGGTGCAGTAAAGTGTGACGGATGCCAGCAGCAGGCGCGTGTATCTTGGGGCCTGGGGAAGTGGGATAGAGCCCTTACAGTCTGCAGAGACGTTCGTCAGTATTGTATTTGTGTTTCTTCTTTTGGTCTTGGGTCAAACTCTCCACCATTGCGTCGATGAATGTTCGACGGAGGCATAGCAAAACGGACGGCGCATTTCGGCAGACGTTTCTGTCAACCGCTGGCTGGACGTCGTCTTTACCAGATAAGAGGATCATAACACCTGTCTAGGATGCACCGGTCGCACATATCAGCATGCATTTGTCCCGGGTCACTCACGTGGTGAACCCGGCCGGTTGGGCATCAGGGTCACATCTCCGCTCCCTTGAATACTGCCTGTGGCACGGACAAATCCCAAAATCTTATCTTCCAGCCTTCGTTCTTGATACCCAGGCAAAACATGGAAGAGCTATCCGTTGCTTGGCCGTTGCTTGGGGTAGTCTGTCCCTCCGCGACACTAACAGGAACAGTATGCTCGTTCCGGACGTGGCTCGTACGTGACATCGTTAATCTTATGTGCATGTTGTGATCCATCTAAAGTGGGCTCAGCTCCCATTGCTCGAAATCTCAGGTACCGCTACCAGCCGCACAGCTGCCAATCCGTGCCGTGCCGCCTCGCGCCGCACCATGCGCGCCTGGACCACCGGGCGCATTACCCCTTCGAGGTGACCAGTCCCCCAGCAAGCAACAGACCTTCAATGTACTGGCCAGCCAGAGGATCGGTGATGTGCTGCATGTGGGTCTGTAACGTAGCCTCATGTTGGGAGCAGCACTTGCCCCACGGCCAACCCAAGGCAAGAGTGACCTTACCTCTGCGTACAGCCTGACAGACCACAATCCGTACTGTCTCTGGGCTTCTATCTTGTGCAGCTCATGCCTGTCACGGTTGCGACAGGCTTCCGATGTTCTGTGTCAGTATGACGTTTGGAGGGGTTTCGTTTCAGAGAAGCACCCGGGGTGCAATGAGCCAGCTGCAGCCCTTGTGGTCTGAACGCCCGCATCGTGAAGGCTCACGGCGAAGGCTCAAGCTGATTCTGCTGCCAAGTCGAGTGGCAGTGCTCATGACCCTGAAGCACGGCGTTCTTTGCAGTTTGCAGCTTTTCAACAGCATCCGACGCTGGGTCCTCCGAACATCCACTGGCCAATTGCCTCTGAACGAGGCTATAGTCCCGTGAGCTTCGCCCACCGCGTCGCCCAGCGCTTGTTGGAGGGCGAGGCCCCGTCTCTGCCGCCGACGCTGCGCGTGTGAGCACTTGCTTCAACCGTGGCACAAAACCGGGTAGGGTAGTAAGTAGTGTAAGGTGGACATGTGAGAGTTAGAGCCACAGCCCCACGGCCCCCGCGGCGTTCCGTTCGGGGTTGCGGGGTGAGTTGCAAGCACAGCTTTCCAGAGGGTCCAAGTCCAGAGGAGTCCGTCCTGGGCCTCTTCGCGTCGCATCCTGGCTCTTTGCTTAGGGCTTTGCTGGTGGGCGGGAACGGAACGGGGGGCCTTGTCGTCTTGTTGATGGCCAGAGATGGATCTGGTCTGAGCCTGTTGTGAATCTGAGGAACCCGTTTCCAGAGAAGGCTCCAGCTTTCGTCCGAGCCCGTGCCTCAGTTGGCCTTGCGACTTGTGGAGCTCTGAGGTTCCAAACTGCGACTTCCGAGGTAACAGGCTACGGGCTGAGCCCGTGCAGCATCGCTCACCACCAGAAGACGGGGAGACCCGCCTGCACAGAAACAGAGGCGTTCCACATCGCATAGCACGGGCTTCGGGACTGCTGCCCTTGCTTGATCGCTACGAAAGTCTGGCACAGCACCCTTACAGAGGATCCCTGACTTCAGCGGCAGCTTTGAGTGTCCTTTGTCCGCCTGACCAACGAGTGTTCCACAGTTCCATCTGTCCAGCTCGTCAGTTGGTTTCACTCTGTTAGTCGTGTCTCTGGCCGAGAGCGGCAGCGAGTGATAACTTTGGGGAGCTGTCGTGGCGAGTATAGCGGGCGGAATTGGGTCACTCCAGGACTTCTGGCAGACACTTGATACCAAAGTTCTAGGACCTTGGAGCCCTGTCTTTCTCTGCAGGAACTGGTGGCATGCGCAGCAGTTGTGCGAGGTCGTGCCTCCGCGACCTTTGCCTGCTATTTGTGGATGATGCTTGCTGACTAGACCTCAACAATCAGCAACTTCAAGACCTTTAACTCGTTGATGGAACTTAGCCACCTGAGGAAGAGGTTCCTACTAGTACCAGTAGGTTCCGTGCACAATGGTACCATGCTACTACGGCCCGAGCACTCACCCAGTTGCGCGATCTGCTTGGACCCAGGTCAAACTGACCCCAGCATTTGGCAGCGGTGGGTTCCACACGCCGAGTGCTTCCACCCAGAGCATGACACTTGTCCTGCAACCCTGGAGCCAACTTGGAATCTTCTCCTCTGCACTGTCAGGGTCAAAGCAACAGGAATTCAGGGAGACATCTGCCAGAAAAAGGGAGGCGATTTTCTTCCGCAGCTTTGCTCGCAGCATCTCGCAGCGCAATCCACCCCTGTGCGCGTGCCGAGTAGATCATAGCCATGCAGCTGAACTTCAAGCCCCGAGGCTAAATTGAAACCTGCTTTGAGGCTTTCAGCTCCTTATGCCGGTTAAATGCTCAGGCTAAGTTAAATGCCACCCGGCCCGAAGATCCAGCTGTTTTCCAGAGCGTGACGTTTGCCTTTGCTTTCTCGCTGCAGGTAGTTTGCGCTGTCCACTGTACCGAGTGCTTTGACATGTCACGTCGGGCAAGCGTCTATGGAGAGCAACGCCTGAGGCTGTGCCTCGCCGCCGCGGCGGCGGCAATGGCGGCGCGCATGGCTCCCTGGGCCTTTGCGCCGGCGGGCTTCCAGGTGCTTGTACGCCGACGGCTGGGAGCAATTGATCCGGCAAGCAAGCCTCGTGTGACATCGGGACGTGGGAACTGCCCTGGATGTAGCGACCCGCAACTCGGCTCGCCGGATGGCACATCGCCGGGCAGAGTGATTGTTCGCCCCACACGTAGCACCCGCTAGCATTTTTTGAAGAACCTTTGGTCACCTTCGTGGTGTCAGTTCGGCTCCAGATTGTCTACTGTGTCCTGCGGCTAGACAAAAGCAGGTGCAGTCCCAGTCCATGTCGCGCCCGTCTCTCACGGCCCCTTGGTGGCAGCCCATTTCGGGTCGAGAGCTGAGAGCCCATGCGTTGAGTTGGACTGCGTGAGATGTTTATGAGACAGGACCAGGAGCTTCTTAGATTCATCTTCCTTACTACGCAGCACTCGTATCAGTGCTACTCGTACAGCAGCCTGTCGTCACTTCCCTCTGCCTGGCCATCGAGGCGTCTGCGCCCTCAGAAGGTCGGGCAGGATCCTTTGCCATGGCGGGCGCTGCAGCCGCCGGTAGCTCGGCCTTGCGCCATTAGATTGACGTTATAGCATCATAGCGACCATATTCACGAAATCGTGGCGATCATGACAAGATCAGTAGGCATACTATAACCTCTTCGAGCAAGCGACATATGGCAAGTACAACGGTGGTGAGGATACCGACCAGAGCAATCAGAAGGGAAAGGCCTGGACAATGTCAGGGCGCAGCAAAGCGTAGGGCCGAGCAGGTTGGCTGCAGAACCTAACTATGCCAGTAAGAGCTCAAGAAGGCGAATGACAGGGCACGAAATCTCTGGAGCGGGGACATGCCGTAGCTGTTATCAAAGGAATGCAGCGACTACGCAAGGCCCAAGCCAACGGTGTTGTTTCCTGTTTCAGGGCGGGATTTCAATAAACTTTGCAGCTTCGAAGTTTCGTATCAGGTGTATTCGGAGTCTCCATACTTTGAGGTTAGAGGACCTGTTGCAGGGCAATAGTTACTAGTTAACTAATAGGATCTAATACTATGTCACATATTTCCCTGCTTCGCAAACCAGGCCATGCAGGAGGCAAAAAATAGGATCTAATAGTCAGATCAGGGTACGCTATGTGTGGCTAGGTCGCGGGGTTTCTTGCAGGTATCTAGGAGTGTCGCAGGTGTGTCGCTGTCCAGTTGTCGTAGTGGCCGTGGAGGGCATGGTAGAAAGGAGTAATCGTAGTCGTCGCCATAGGCAATACTGTCGCCTGGATCGTTTGCCACCATCTGCGGCATCATTTATCACACAGCAATAGGGGCACACAAAGATGCCGACGATGAGTTGGTGTATGGGATGTGGAAAGTCTCGGGTCCTGGAGTGCCGTGCCGCGCCTTACCGCGTGGTCTTGTGGTCAGATTATGTTATGATACGCAGGCTCTTGTCATGCACATGTTTAGAGGAACCCTGTTTCTTAGGCCTGGCTCTGGGAGCAGCAGCGGCTGCTGGCCGCAGCGCACGTGCCTCCACCATGGCACGGCGTTCGCATGCAGCGCCTGGTCATAAACGAAGTAGAAATCCATGAGACTGCATGGACCATGGTTGGGAGCGTTTCCGTGCAGCAAAGGTGAAAATCTACGACACCTGCATTGGCTGCACTCTGTGCGTGCGTGCATGCCCCACAGATGTCTTGGAGATGGTCCCGGCCACTATCAACGCAGCCAAGCAAGTGGCTTCGTCCCCGCGAGTGGAGGCTCGAAAGGGGCGCGACTGGATCGCTGCGAGTCCGCGATAGTGCGATAGTGACACTGAGCGCACCTGAGCGCAGGATTGCGTTGGCTGCAAGCGCTGCGAGACGGCCTGTCCCACCGACTTCCTGAGCATTCGTGTCTACCTTCAGGAGTCACGCTTGCGTCTGGGTTTTGAGGGTCCTGCAGAGCACTGTATGCCAGCTCCATGTTCCGTGATGCTGGAGTTGCTGTGGCTTTGTACGTCTAACGCACACGTTTGCTCGGTTGGAACCTCATCTGGAAAACCCAATGGTCAAAAGGGGGGAAGGGGGGACGCAAACGATGGATTCAGAGGCAGTATGCCCGCCCCCCCGGTTCACCACGACGTGGGCATGGCAGTATTGTACAAGGTGGCTCCCCCCCCCCACCTCAAAGCCCATCAGCCAATGTGCCTCTCTCGTAGACTCGTAGCCTCGCCAGGCTTGTTCCAAAGTTGATGAGTGGCAACTTGAATTTTGTCTTTGCGCGGCCGAGTCGACGTTGCAGCTTTCACGTCTAATGCCTCAGTAATTGGCTAAGCTGCCACCAGAGACTTTCCGGATGGGTCAAGCTAATATGTAAAGCAGAAAACGCCATCATCTTGTAGCGTTCAAGCTTCATGGCAGTACATGTGTGTTTGCGTCCGTGCCGCCGGGCATACACGCAACAGCTCTATCCACTTGGCAGATTTTTGTCCTTGCTGTGGTGGCCCTCTTCTCAAGTTGTGCCAGTTTATCTACCCTGCTTGAACTCTTCTCCGGTTTTCAATTTGAAGTGAAGAAAGCGCCAAAACTCGATCCTCCTACTTGGGCGGTGTTTAGCCCCCAGGACAACGAGGAGACCCAGTACAGCTTGGGCCTGGATCTGGTGGACTGGTTCCTCGGCCTGGATCATCCTCAATCGACGGCGCAAAGCTAGCAGATTCGTGATACTTAAGCGCAGCTCAAAGAATCTCGAAGAATCCCAGTGCAATCCCAGTGCTGCCTGACGAGCTTCGAAAGTTGGGATCAGAGCTTCCGAGCATGACTGAGGTCGTAAGAAGTCCTCTGAGAGCACAGGGACCTGGAGCTTCCGGTCTCACATAAAACCAAGGAGACAAGTCTTGTATCGGTGTGGTGGAGTATGAGTTCGTTCCGGATGTCAAAGCTCTGGGGTCTCCTCTGGTTTAGCTGATTGTTCTATAATGCATGTACCCAGACTCGAAAGACCCGAAGGCGGATGAAGCCTGATGAGCGTAGTCTGAAGGTTGACCGTAGGGTCCAATCTCGACTAGAGCACCCAGCCTACGGCGGCTTAAACCACTCCGCTTGCTCCCAGATCCCTGCGGCAAGAGGCCTTGCCACTCTTTTTAACGCGAGCGCACGCGAGGGCCCAGAGCGCGGCATGCCCAAATCTGGGTTCTTGTCTCGGATCCCGGCGGGTTGGGTTATCAAAGTATGTTTTTCTGTCGACTTTATGGTTTTCACACTTATCGTAAAGTATATATAGGATGAATCGCTATGATAGGCGATGGATTCCGTGAGTTTGGATTGTTACTCATCGAGTCTCTGGGCCCCGCCTGGGAGGGTTGGGGGATGCCAGTCTTGCGGGAGGAAAAAGCAAGAGCCGCAAGAAGTTCTGCCAGCTTGCAATGATTGGTCATGCTAGCGAGAATCAGAGACTTCGAGCGCACAGCGTGCGACTGCTGCTTGCGCCACGCAGCCAGTTCACCTGCCGTCTCCCGCCAGCTGCTGTATGCGGATGCTTGTTCTTGTTTTTGCAGATGCAAGGAAGTGTGGCGAAGCCGCAGTGGCCCGGTACAGGCCACAGGGAGAATCGTCTGTACATGCGTCTCTACGCCAATGTTCCCCTGGCGTTATGAAGTCGACACAGACGCCGCTGATCAGACAGCGGTTTTCCTCTCCGGAGTATCTCGTGCCTGCACCGGGCCAACCTTCAACCCTGAAACCGCAGCAGAGAAGTTGGCGTACTCCTGAATCATTCATCCTCAACAGCCTGAGTTTGAGTCCGTTTGCAGGCCCTCCGTGCCAGTGATCCGAGTGATGTCGATGCAGCGGTTTTCTGCGAGGGCATCGGCAAGGACGAGGCCCCGACACTTTGCTCCAGCAGTTTTGGTTTGGTTATTATGGTATTTTTGGTCGTCACAGCCGACTGGCGGCAGAACTGCTCTCACACCCTTGAAGTGTTTGATGACCTGAGTTCCAACGGTCAGGAAGATTCATGTTCATGTGCAGCGGGGTCCATACTGACTTTTCAGAGTCATGCAGAAGAAGACCGACACTCGAAATTATTGCTTATGGCAGACCTTACCCTGGGATTCGACGCTGCATCGCACAGAGGCAGAAAGCACAGACATGAGGTTCCGAGGAAGCGCAGATGGTAACAGGCTTCGGGCACAGGCCAGAACCTTTGGAAGGACTGAGGGCCGAAGCATGAGCTCTGACATATGCTCAAGAAGGAGAGGAGGCACGGTCTGGCATGTCGTGGCACGAAGACGGAACCCGTGCACAAGCAGAGTACGAGAAGAAGCAAAATCTCAGAGACGCCAAGCCGAGCAGTGCACGACACATAAGTGCGCACATACGCACGCAATCTGCTTCAAAGCCCCGTGAGGCGTCTAGATGTTATGCCAAAATACCTCTTTCACGCAAAGGATACAACCATGTAGTCCTGGAGCAGCCTGAACCTCTATCTACGCGTAAGGACGAAGGATTTTCAGCATGTTAATTCACAGAAAATAGCATCGCATCACTCCGGCACAGACAGCCAACGGTCAGTAAACGGTGAAGACAGCTACATTCAAATAACTCTAAGTATACATATACAGGTAAATAAACAGACAAAAAACAAATAGATACACATAGGTAGATAACCAAATGATCGATATGTGTATGTATGTTTGTACGTATGTATGTAGATAAGTATGTACGTACGCATGCATGTATGCATGTATGTGTGTATGTATGTATGTCCTGTGAATATCAGGAACATACACTATATCTGTATGGACGATTATGGACGTTACAATACATGCACACGCACGCATACATAAACACGTGCATACATACGTACATACACATGCACACACGCATTCACACATACCTACAGCCATACATGCATGCATGCATCCACTCATACATACATACATACCTACATACATGCATCTCACTCATACTGAAAATCAGAGTCAGCTAATGCCAAGTTAATATAGAGACATGGATATATGCATAACTTGCCGAGCACCAATATCAAGCACGGTGTGGCACGGCAAGAACCCGGAAGCCGAGATCACTCCTGCAAACATCCTACTAGGATTGAAGTGATGCAGGTGCGGCAGTACTGGTAGCATAGAGGTCTTGCAAAATCGCGGAACTCGTCGAAACTTCAGCCGAAGTGGTTTCTGAAGTTTTGTGGACTTGGCTCAAAGCAAATTCAATACCGCTTTGTTTCTGCACTTTCGACAGTCTTGAGTCACATGTTGCCCTGACGAGTGGACCGTGAGCGAAGCAATCCCTGCAAGCTTCCCTTCGTGGCGCAGAGGTCGCAGCTTTCTGGTCTGAGTTTATCCCGAGCGTGCAGCGAGCACGCGGTGACTGGGCCAGTCTTCCCTCGCGAGCGCGGGAATTGGCCGACGCCTGACCATGACAATATCTGCTGTGCGACAAGGCCTCTGCTTGCAATAGTGTGCCGGTGAAACCACATGCCCCCTGCGCATCAAGATAATGGTTCTGCATCCGGATGTTGACTCTTTCCTGGAGTACGGTCTGCTAGACACATCAGGGCTTCAACTCGACATGCAAATCAATAAGAATCCCAACCCAGAATCCAAACACCCATGAATAATCCGGGAAGTCTAAGCTCGGCCGGAGGTATTCGCAACTGGATTTCCAACCTGCCAACAATGTTTCAAGAACGAGCTTCTGACCTCTGTAAGTTCTGAGTTTTAGATGTTTCTTTCCAGCTTGGGCTCTAAGCTTAAGGGCTGGAAAAAGCTATGCAACGGGCCAAAACTCTCCAGCAGTTTGGTGAGTAAACATCCCCGCTACCATCGGCAAACCTGCAACAACAGAACTCAACAGCCTCGCGCGTCTGGGTTGTGGCTGTCGAAATGCAGGCATTGTTTCGAATTGGGACCCATCGTCTCCCCGAAAGATGGACTCGGTGTGTGCATCCTGTGTACGAGAGTCCACGGCCGGATTAGCACGTTTGAGACAAGTAAATGTCTGCATGTACCTCGCTTCGTATATGACGAGGCGAATGAAAATGAGAATACTAGTGAGGCAGGCAAATAGCCATCCAGAGAGGCATGCGTGCGTAAATTTAAAGGGTACATAACGCACATAGCCATATACATAACATATATATATATATAGAAATGTAATACTCATAGGTGTATATGTATATATATATATAACACATACATGCGACCGCTTGTTCTGGTCCACATCCACCGTGAGCTCAGGAGCGCACGGCCCCGGCCAAGCTGGCCCTTTACGAGCGCATTCTCGCGCGCTATGCCGTGGCCCTGGAATCTTCGAGGGGTCGAAGTTCGCGGGGCTTTGCGTGGTCAGAGAGACGGAAGATATCGATACCTATGACAATGTCTATGTGTATATGTCTGTCTGTCTATGTGTCTATCTTTCTATATATCGTAAAAACATGTTTGCGGTACACATGCCTTATGCATATATGGTCAGGCGTCTGGCGTTCCCAGCCCCCCCCCCCCCCCAATGGTATGGTCTGACAGGGGTGGGGGGGGGGGGGGCCTGGCGTGTGCGGAAAGGGGTTGGGGGCCGTTGGAGCTGCCACTGGGTGGTGGGGTGGTGCTGGCGGCCAGGGCTCACGCGCAAGCGCTTCGCAAGCAAGCCGTAAACCCTATGACGCAGCGCGTGCCCCTGTTTTGAGCAACCTTAACTTGAACTTAAAACACTACACCCAACCCTAAACACCACCTAACTGCAGGCTCTAAGCCTAAAGCAGAGCATACACCGCAAATCCTCCCTAAGCCCTTGTCGACTCGAAGCCTTATACCTTGTAACCGTAAACCCAAAACTCAAAAGCTTAAGCTAAACCCGAAACCCCAAAACCCCACAACCACCCCACAGGAGGAAAGAGGAACCCCACACCCCACACCACAGGGGAGGGGGGGGCCCCACCCTATATCCGGACCATTGACCTTTGGGGGGGGAGGGGGGGGGGGCTGCGGAGCGCGTGACCATATATGTATATATCTATCTATATCTATATCTATACCTATATCTCTATCTATATCTATCTACATCTCTATCTATATCTATCTACATCTATATCTATATCTTTATCTATATCTATATATATATATATGTATCTATCCATATATCTATATATCTATGTATCTATATATCTTTATATCTATATATCTATAGATTTTTATATCTATATATCTATATATCTATATACCTATATATCTATATATCTATATAAAAAATATATCTATATATCTGTATATCTATATACCTGTATACCTATATATCTATCTATCTATCTATCTATCTATCTATATATATATATATCTGTATTTATATTTATATTTATATTTATATCTGTATCTATATCTATATCTATATCTATATCTATATCTATCTACATATATATATATATATATATATATATACATGTGCATGTATACACACATACACACACACACACACACACACACGTAGTTATGCGCTTGACAAAGTGTTTTCATATGTACGTGTGTATACATGCATGAGCTTGTATGCATGCGTGCCTCCATGCTTACGAGGCTTGCGCTCTTTTACATGGCTTTCTGAAATTATGTGTATACGTATGTGTCGCCTACATATACATACGCACATATATACAGACACACATACATGTACATACAGAGCATCATACTGGGTATGCGCAGGTACGCGCGCACAACGAGCCATCGATAATGAATGAGAGTACTTATGCATGCGCGTATACGGCGAACACACACGCATAGTAGAGAGAGATATACATATATCTATCTATATATATATATATACACACATATATATATATATATATATATATATATATATATATATATATACGTAATATGCATATGTATACGTGTACTTAGGTCTGTACACATGACATATACACAAACACACATGCTTACATGTGTGCAAGTGCATGCTGGTGCGCCTGCATGTTTTTGTTGAACAAATTGCGCAGTTGATTTTTTGACAAGGCCACCTCAATACACTGCCACGAATGTTGTGCAAGTAGCTGCGCCCAGCTACAGGTACTGCTTTTGCTTCGACAAGTTTCCCCACAGCTTGTCCAAAAGATTGGCATTGCCATCCTCTTCGGCTGAAACCTCAGCCGCAAACCCACGCGCCGGGTTTGTGGTTTCAGTGTGTCATGAGGCGCTGACACACGACCTCTTCCGTCACACAGGCACCTGGCGACTTCATCTGCTTCTGCACGATGTGGTTGCTGAAGGCAAGCAAGCAGGAGAAACCTCGGTCAGAACACTGACTCAATTCGCAGACGGGAACATGTATGTGTTTGGGGCGAGTAGCTCGAGCAGCTCACTGCAAACCGCATAGGGCTCAGCAGAACCCTGTTGGACTGTGGGCCTTGTGCAGGCAAAGATGCGTACCTGGACACGCTCAAGAAGCCAGACGGCAATCGTTCAGATGGCGTGGGTCAACACCCCATGTCCGAGAAAGGGTTGGAGTGCAAAGTATGAACCATAAACTCCGCCACGGTTCAAGTCCTGCAGTTGTCCAGGGATCATGTGATGCAAGTGGGCGGTTGGCATGCCTGGAAGGATGGAGTTTGAGTCGAACCTTTTCGCTGTTCCATCAAGTCTTCCGAACATAGCTCAGCCAAGCCAAGCTGTTTTCTTCATGCAGCTCCAGTGGGTGTAGGAGTGCAGCAGTCAGTATCAGCAGCATTGTACAGACAGCAAACCCAAAAGCAGCAGCCACCTTCTCGGCAACAATCCCCACAACAGCCGGCAGATCACGGAGCCCACGTTGTGAAGGCGTTATGACGGTTAGAGCGCGGCTTCGAGCACTGGAACCTGCAGCAAAGCCCTGAAGTGCTCCCCGTGAGCCCGACCTGAGGAATCCTGAGTCCTTGCTTCCACGGGCCGAGTGTTTTGGTTGCACCCACAAGCCTGCCGCCTCCCCTGGTTTGTGAGTTCTGTTCTTGAAGCTGGTACTTCCACAATGCAAGAGCTTTTCGAGCTGCAGCCGCCGAAGATGGCAAGGTGCACAAGGCAAGGAAACCGATGTAGTCACCAGCTCCACTCACCCAGGAAGATCCAGGATCCGCAGCTTCTGGATTTGCTGGGCCTTCTAAGACCCGCAGACCTGCTTCTCGGATAAGGGTGAGCTTGATGGATGTAGCCCTGGGTGCTTTTCGGAAAGGTGAGGACAATTCCGTGCCGTAAGAGAGGTGGGTCTTCAAGGTTCCTGCCGTATCAGGGAAACAGATCTAGGCCCGGTGGCATAAGGCCTTGGAGGCCTCTCCATTTCCCAGGCAGTTCGAGGACTGCAAGTTCCATTACCAGCCGCCCAGCTTGAGTTCGGTTGGCCGGTTTCGGAGAGCAGAAGAGGTTGCAAGAGTACTCGCTTTCAAGCTTGCAGTGTTGCAGCACTGGACTTGGTAAGTTGAATGCTCGATCACACCATGATCTCGCAAGGTAACACTCCAGGGACTCACCTAAGAACGGCAGAGCAAAACAACCTATTCCAGCAGTCAAAGCCCCATATACACTCACAAGCCGAGTTATGCTGCCAAGCAGCGCCCCGACCGTCGTGGTTTCCTCAAGAGCATCTGCGCCGCTTGGACCAAGCTTCACTTAAGGGAGCAAGCAGGGCTAGTGACAGAACTCAAAATCTGCACAGGTTTGTGCACGCAGACGCTCTAATCTTGTCATCCGTTTTGGGCTTGCTACGACCCCAAGTCTTGAGTCGGTTTTCGGAGTACAGAGGTTTGTTGTCAGCCTTCCTGTGATTGCTGATGCCATATTGTTCTCGTTGCTGAATGGCTACTCCTTCATGTCGTTTTTACGTTTCTGCTCATGGGCCTTGTGTGCAAACTCTTACCTGGTTCGTGGCACTGATGCTGTTCATCGTGCTCCCATTCCTACTACGGTTGCAGGTGTTGTCGATGCGACGGCGAAGGTCATAACCGTAATATCAAATCAGATACCGTCACCAATTGTTGACGTAAGTGATTGTTGCTCTAGTTGCTGCTTACGTGAGTAGTGCTCGTCGTATAAAGAGCGATTGTGGCGACGCCTGTATAAGCAAGGGCCGGCCTCAACATCACAAACTGCCGTCATCACTGCCGCTGTCAACATCGCCGGCGCTATCGCTATCACAATTACGACAATTCAATATGATTTCGAGAATCTTGGACTCGTTTGTTATTTTAAGGAGTCCCAGAAGAGAGTTTCTCAAGCGTTGTCACTGTTGTCGTACGGTTTTACACTTTATCGTTCCAGGGCGGCTGTACCTCCATTGAGTCATCAGCTCGTCCAGGTAGCACAGATGTGAGACTTGGCCATGGCAGATATTGGATAGCTTGAAGTTGCCATGCAGAAGACACTGCTTCTCTTCGTGCCTGCGTCAGAAGTCGGAGGAGTTTGACTATGGTGGCATGTACTCCTTCGTGAAGTTCATGGCTCAGCAACCCAGCCTGTCGCCACTTTGGCTACCCAAGGCCAGCCGGGTTTCACGTGAGTTCGATCACCGCTCGGCCTCCCTGCGCTTCCGTAGTCTGAACTCGGAAATCAAGCTCGGAGCCTCTGAGTGGAGGCCGAGTTGCTGAATTCCGGGGCTTGGATCGTGGAGGGCTACCAGGAGCTCCGTTCCGAAATGCCTGAACGCCCCTGAATACCCCATCATGTTGCAGTTCGTCGGTTAGCCTGCTCGGGGTTTTCGGCTCTTCGAGGGTAGAGCGATGTGGAGTTCGCCTGGCTTGGAATAGGGGGTTGATTGTACCTTCCTTGTGTGCTCAAGGACCAAGGCGAGGCAACTGCATCCGCTTCTCTGAGCGCTCCACTTGTCAGGTAGCTGTGAGTTGCTGAGGGCTTCAAGGTTTAGAGTTGAAAACTGGGCAGCTGATCCAAAGCGGTGCTGCTGCGCAAATCTGCGGCCCATTGATTTCGTAGAAATTGCAGGTTCAGGTCGGCATCAGTTGAGCTTGGAGCTCTGATCCGGTGACAATCTGTGCCAGTTCACCAAGAGACGGGCTTCCCACCCACGAAAAAACTCCTGTCCAAAACGGGGGGAGCATGGGCATAGCTGTCCTGGTCTCTGTGGGCATGGATTCAGAGCTCGGCGATAAGTTCGCGATAAAGTTATGCCACAAGGATAGGCCGGATAGGCGGAGGGCCTCTTCCGAGGATTCACGCCGCTGTGAGCGACACAAGCGGGTGCTCTTCGTCAAAACGGTCGTGGGTGGGAGCCTCAGTTTCTTAGGCTCTGCAGGCTTCACGCTTCCAGCTGTTTGTGCCTGGGCGGTGGGGACCAGACCACCCCGGTTAGAGCCTTTCGGCGCACAGTGGGACAAGTATTTGTTCGGGGTTGCCGACATGTGGCAGCTGCAGGCGGAAAGATCGACAAGACCGTGGAGATTCCCTATGGTTGCTTGGTGCATCCCAGTGCAACCCTGTCTCGCCATGTCCCGGCATCACGTGGAGCCCTTGCACTGGCACCAATTCCAGTTACCAAGCAGCTCTTTTAAGTCAAGCCTTTGATTCTCTAGCAGCTGCGTGCCGGCACAACCCAGGCCTTGCACCGAGTGTTGTGCCTGCCCGACTACATGCCGAGGTCATTGCGAAGTCGGCCTGTGGCTACTCATCTGAGTTTTCATCGAGTCGGGAAGCGCTGGAGCAGTCCTATTAAAGGTTTCCGTGCAGTTCTTACTTGTGCAGATTGCATGACAAAATTGCAAGTCCTGTCTTGTGTGACTTGTGTGAGCCAGGTGCCCTATAAGTCCGAGCCTAGATTCTGATCAGGGCGGAGACCGAGCTCCAAAGCATCAGCACCCAGGCCCAGAGACCCGGAAGTGTTGCCCCAGTGTGCAGAAATTGGACGTTTCAGCCCCACCTAACTCAACGATGAACGGCCTCTGGCCATCCGACCATCCGCCACACGCCCAGCCCGACGTGTTTGTGTCGGTCGAGGTATCGCTGCCGTGCGCATGAGGCCACCGGGCTATCCATTCGCCTCTCGGCATGCGCATGGAAAAAGTTTGGGAGGGTCGCAGATCCCGGGTGGATCGGGAGCCACTTGGACGGCTTTTCTGGAAACGGCAGTCGTGGAGGATCTCGGGGCAGCCTTTCACGACTTGGGAAAGCATCGCCTAGATGGGCACGCCGGGCATTCGGGGGTGTTGCGAAGCCAAAGCTGAACGGAGACGTGCCAACGAGACCACCTAGTCTGTCATGAGGACAGATGAAGTTGCTGTTCGCAGGGGCTCCCTTGCCCGACGACCGGCGACATAGCAGCCAAGCAGCAGGGAGTCGCTCAGGAACGAGCATGTGTGTTTACTCGATTGTCTTCGAAATAGTCAGGCACAGCACCTTTTAACACTGCTTCTTTGCTGCAGTTGCACATGCTGGAAGATTTGTCATGCGTAGACGGCGAAGGCCTTACGCCAGCCATGACTCTGTGGATGACGCGTTGAGGTGGTTTGCAGGTCGGCAGCACGCTTCACCTCGTCGTCCCGGCGCAAGAGCCAAGAGCCTGAGATCCGTAGCTGTAGCCCCTGCAGCTGCTAGGCCTCCGAAAAGGCCCAGAGTTGCGAACTCGAGATCTTTGTTGCAGAGGCGCTCAAGGAGATGACCCCTCGGAGCTTGTACAGGATCTTTGCAATATGGGAAGATCAGGGCTCTGCGAAGCGAAACCGCAAAGCCTGCTTGTCTGTCGCTCAGGGTCTAGAGCCCTGCTAAAGGATGCGATGGCGAGATGTCGAAGTGCTGCTGCAGTGCTGAATCATGCTGAGACATCACGAGGGCAGCACGAACTCGTCAAGACGTGGAAAGAAAGGCCCGCGGTGGTTTCTGTACTTGGGAGCCAATAGGGGGCCAGCCCGAAATGGGTGGTTGAAGCGCCGCTTGAGGGTAATTCTAGTTCGACTTTGCCCTCAACATGAAGCACAGAGTCACGAAGTGACACGAGGCGTCTCGCTGCTGTCAGGCTTCACTGTTTGCTTCAATGCGTGCATTTGCGGTTCGAGGCGATGTCGCCGGGTACTGTCTGCACCTTGGGTTTCGGAGACCGCGTAGAGGGTCTCAGAACCTCCGGGCATCCAAGAGCTTCCGCTCCTAAAGGCGCGGGCTCGGGAATGCCGCAGGCGCCTCGCCTTGCCCGCTTGGTTGGGGTGGATCTGCAGAAGGAGCGAGTAGGAGGAGTCTGGTTTGGCCGTTCAGTACATCTCTTTGCGATTGCTGAGGCTCACTGTCCACAGAAGCCGCAACACCTCTCTCTCCAACCTAGTGCCTATACTACCTGAATTCCGGCTGAAGGCTCAAGGACCCGACGGACGCTGCGGTGCGACATGCTACGAAGCCACAAACACCCTTTTTTGGAGGTTCCGGTGTGAGGCTTGGGGCTGCGGGCAGGCCAAGCGCTCTCATCTAAGGTGCTTCGAGACACATGGCTCGTTGCTGTCAACCCGGTCGTGGCACACAAGATGCTGCGACATCGCTTGATGCTGGATGCTTGGTGAGTGTATCGTCATGTTTTGTTGCTCATTCTTCCGATTTTGTCGAGCTTCTTGGCAGCCAGAAAGAAGGGTGCAGTACGAAGCCTGTGCTTGGGAGCATGCCGGACTCATCTGCAGGATGCGCCACGAAGTGCGTCGCTCCTGGCGTGGAAAGGCTCTACCACACGTGAAGCATGCAAGCTGGCGCACGCACATGCCGCTGGACTTTGTTTGCAACTCTTTGGTGTCGTGTGTAGCAGTAGTAACATGTACCCAGACCTAGGTAGCAATCCATCGGACTAGCATGTACTGTATGGGTTTCAAGGATTCTGCGATTACTGCACCTTTGTTTCCAAGAAAACTTGTCAAGGCTGGGGCGTCATCGGCCTCGCCATAGTTTTTGCACGCTCTGACCGTGGCCGGATTCCCTTGGAGGTGATAACACGGCTGGAACGCGCGACTTCTTTGATGCTGCTGGAGATGGGCACATCGAGACACATGCCTCGAAGCGAGTAGCCAGTGTCGGAGGCTGTTGGGGTCGCCTCGCAGCCTGCGAGAAGTTGAGATTCTGCGGATTTCTGCGGCAGCTCGATATGCCACAGCAAGATTGGGCTACCACCTGCCAAGAGGGAGATGTGCTTATGCTGGCACGGCTACGACTGAGCAGAGAGACCTGTGCATCTAAGTTTCACGAAGTCGCTGCACTGTCCTTGTCTTCGCCTCTGCAGTGCTGTCCTTGAGAAAGTGTTGCCTAGTGATTTCTGATCATCATGTCGCGCTGTGAAAGTTTCACCTGACTGGGAAGCTTCTTACTTGCTTCGCCGTTCATCTCTTATGCCGAGTCAGAGTCTTGGGTGAGGGCCGATCGTGTGGAAGATTGGTGGAGTCATGGCTACGACTGAGCAGGAAGACCTGTGCATCTAAGTTTCATGAAGTCGCCGCACTGTGATCGTGCGGAAGATGTCAGGCACTGTCAAACAGGCGCTTGTACCGATAAATGCGTGAGGCGGATCAATCGCGTTGGCAGACCCTGCATCGTAGGTTCGTCCTAGTCAGGCGGCAGGCAAAAAATCAACAGCGCTTCGTCGCCTATCTCGAAAATGCATCAGAGTTTCATTGTCATTCCCAAGCCGTCTCGACATAGTGTCGGCAATCTTTCCGATGTTATTTAACTATAGGGTGGGGGTGTGCGGAGAGGTCACGCTAGGCAGGCCAACCCTGGGTCAAGTTGCTTTTCCAATGGAGGGGCTGGTGGCACTCTGCGTGTCGCGACGCCCGTCGCTCCGCTGGGTGACACTGCTGTCAAACCAACGTAATTTCGTGGAGTGCTGGGCAAAGCCTGCATGCTGTGCTAGTCGGGTTCCCCAGCAAGTGAGCAGCAGCAACGTCGCGGCCCCGACCTCTTCGCATGCGGCTGCATCGAGAAGATGGCGGCTGTTTGCGACTGCGGGGTCTTTGTTTCAGCGACTCAAGCCGCCACTAGTCTTTTGGGCTTGCACTGGCCTACATGCTCCTCGTTCTGGCTCGGCAGTTCTGCGTGGAGGTATGGAGTGCAATCGGCTGAGGTGTGAGAAGATGTGAAGAATTGTGCTGGGACATCTTGCTGGCTCGGCAAGCTCGGGAATCGTGGAGTCCTTGGCAGCCCGAGAGCCCTGCTCACAGCGAGGGCGGCCGGACACAACACGAGCTGCATTGCTCCAGCGTAGCACCGCTTGGGGTGGGCAGCTGGAGATCTCGGTTTGTTGAAGGGGAGTTGGTGAGGGCGCTTTCAACCGTGAGTTTGCATGCCACATTGTAACATTCACATTGCCTGCGCTTCCGAAGTTGCTAAGCCGCCTGGCTCGTAGCATGTGATGCGAGCTCAGCTCCAGCTTTCCGCATACAAGCACGCCTGCAATCGACGGCCTGCTCGTCCAACTAGTCCTTGAGCGTACGGCTGCATTCCGGCCTGTGCTGCGGCCCGAGAAGAGCAATTGTTGCTCTTGGCCTTCGTTGAATTGAAACGCGGCAAGATGTGAGGAACAACATGGGTCCAGCGCCTCGACATGTGGCTAGCTGGAAATGAAGCCTCCGATGGCCTTTGCTGCGTCATGAGAAGTATATCTGTGGCGGCTGTGGCTGTGGTGACCCATTGCTCGAGTGGGCATGAGCCGAGGTTTTCTCTGGCCTGCTCCGCAAACTGGCCCTCGCGCACCGGGCTGCATGTCGTTTTACCCGTCCTCTGCGGACCAAAACGGACAATAGGCGCCTTCACAGGGGGTCTGAAACAGTGCCATACCCTTCAAAAATGTCAGTAAAGGATAGTAAGGGAAGGGGGTAAAAAAGCGGTGGAAGGGGTGCTGCAAGCTGGCACGGCAAGCCAAGGCTGACTGTAGGGACTTGGCTAGATATTGAGGAATCAGACTTGAAAGCTGCTACGTAGACGCGCTCGGCCACGTAAGGACGAAACGCAAGTTGCCAGAAATGGACTCAAAACTGAGACAAGCCTGGCGAGGTTACGAGTCTACGAGGGAGGCACATTGGCTGATGGGCTTTGAGGTGGGGGGAGCGAGTCCTCCCCACCTTGTACAATACTGCCATACCACCTGGTGGTGAACGGGGCCGAGGACGACTCAATCACCGTGCAAACCTTCGGTTTTGCGGGACAGGAGGACATCATTTCGGGCGGGGGGCGCCCATACTGCCTCTGAATCAATCATCTGCGCCCCCCCCTTTTAACTATTGTGTTTTCCAGATAAGGTCCCGACCGAGCAACGTGCGCGTTAAACGTACAAAGCTGCAGCAACTCCAGCATTACGGAACATGGAGCTGGCATACAGGGTGGTGAAGGGTGCGCCGAGGTTGCCGCAGGGGGGAGATACTTGTACCTGTGGCGGGTCGTATGGACACATATTGATCCGCGAGATTCGAGAAGATGTCATGACGAATTCTGGGATGCGGGTTTGCTTGCGACATTAAGTTGGGCCATATTGACATATTGATTTGTGCCTGTCCAGGCCATGAGATGCGAGAAGATGTGAGGAGCAAGTCTGGGACATCTCACTGGATCGGCAGGCTGGAGCCTGTCCTGTTCCAAGTTGCCATTCCAGTCGGTGGGCTAGTGGTGCTCTTGTAGCATAAAGTTGCTGCCGCTGCGCCACTCAGCTTCCAGCAAGTGATGTTTCTCCTGAAGTCCGCCACAGTTCCCACAGTCTGCTTGTGCTCTGCAGCTCAGCGAAGAAGTAGGGCGCGCTGCAGGGAAGCAAGTGGCGGCCCCACACGCTTCAGACGCGGCTGCGGCATGAACATGGCGACTCTGCCTGTAGGGTGTTTGCTTCAGAACCTGGCTAGCTCGAAGGGCTGCACTGAACTTTGGGCATGCCTTGGCCTGCACGTGTGCCAAGGCGTCACACGTGTGGCTCCCGGCGTTTGCGAGAGGCATGTGAGCGCAAAGCCAGTCAACTGGTCACCTGCAAGCGTGCCTTCGATCCACGGCCAGCTCGGCTAGTCCTCGAGCGCAGGGATGCATGTCGGCCTGCGCTGCTTCGGCGGCCCAAGTTGGGCCACATTGATCTGTGCCTGTCCAGGCCATGAGATGCGAGAAGATGTGAGGAGCAAGTCTGGGACATCTCACTGGATCGGCAAGCTGGAGCCTGTCCTGTTCCAAGTTACCATTCCAATCGGTGGGCTAGTGGTGCTCTTGTAGCATAAAGTTGCTGCCGCTGCGCCACTCAGCTTCCAGCAAGTGATGTTTCTCCTGAAGTCCGCCACAGTTCCCACACAACGCAAGCACTTGCTCTGCACGCGCTCTGCAATTCTGCGTGGAGGCATGGTCGCATGCAGGGCAGCAAGTGGCCCCCCCACACGCTTCAAACGCGGCAGCGGAGCGAAGATGGCGACTGTAGGAGACTTGCTTCACCGCCTGAAGCGCGATTAGGTCCAACAATGCATGCTTTGGACCTGCACTGGCCTGCTGCATGAGGCTGAAGATGCAACTAGCTCCACAGCTCCAGCTTAGGGTTGCTTGTCGCATGTAATTGCAGCTCCGGTCTTCCACCTGCAAC